TTAAAAAACGATATTTTACTTTTTTGACCTTGTTAAAGAACTAAATGTTTTCTCTAAAAATAAGGTTAAGATTAAACCTGTTTTTGTAAAAAAATTTAAAAAAGTAAATGTATTTCTTAACTTTTTAATCACTATCAAATTCTTTCTTTGCATCTTGATTAGCAAACGTAGTGTACCGGAAAGCTAATTAAAATTCATGTCCTTATTCAATAAAAACTTCCAAATTATCTTTTCTTTATCATTAAAAATAGAATATTTTGTATCTTTTTATCAGAATATAGAGGTGAAATTTAGACATTTTGAAAAAACAAAACTTTATTGACAATTAACTCAACAATGATTACAGTTCAATCTTGTAGATCAGGGATGGCCAACACGTAGACCGCGGTCGACCGGTCGACCGCAAAGGTTTTGAAAGTAGCCCGCGAAGCTAAAGTTGAACAATTTACTTTCACTTAAATTAAAAATCTTAATTCGATAATTTATTCTTACAATAATAGACTGTCTGTGCAACGTACCCATACTGTTTGTATTTATCCCGATGAACAATGCAAATAAACGTTAACGCATGCGCATATAAAAATCCTAAAATTGTTTGCCCATATTCATAGTCGCCCTCAGACTATATTTTACCAATAAAGTAGCCCCTAAGGGATAAAAGTTTGGCCACACCTGTTGTAGATAATCAACATCAATATCAGTCATATCTCGCTACCTTTGTTGCAAACTTTCAATCCCTTGATCATGACTGGTGTCTTTGAACTGTATATTGGCAATATTGTTCTGGGCTTTAAGAAATTTCCAACCCAGACTGGTCAACTTCTCCATCTTTGCTGTATGTGCCGGCGTGTTGTCGTGATGGTATCGGACTTTGTCAGGTTTTAAATGAAGTTCTTTAATCACGGAACATTCAAGTTGTTATGCTAACTCTCTGGTGGTCAACCATGGATTATCATCTATTAGTTGCAAGAAAACGTCGTCATCAATGATGGAATTGATGCCTGGATGAAGTTCAAACCAGAAATCTGTATCCTTCAATTTCTTGAACTAATTGTAGTAGGTGTGCCTGTTGACTGTGTCCTCGTCAAATGACTTGCAGATGAGATCGTGAGGTTACGTTTTGGCCATTTTTGAAGTGATAGAACAACAGCATGCGAATCTGTTCTTTCAAAAGATTCATATTGTAATGAAATGCTCTTTGGTTACTCTATTTATATACCCACATCGAACATTTTAGAACATTTTTTCCATATCTAAAGTTCACCTTTTCGAATGAAGAAACTGACTGTATTGAGAAAAGTTCTAGAGAAGAAGAAGAAAATTTTTATTAGATTGCAACTTAATACAATTTAAGCTGTGTTTTTAATATCACTCATTATACTTAGTTTAGCTTCTTTTACATTCGAATAATAATAGCCGTACTTTTTTATTTTATAAATACGATTACTCCAAATTTACGAGTACCGTGCAATACATTTGAGGATTAAAAAATGAAGAGCAATGATCATAAATCTGCTGTTCACTATAACTCGTCTATAAAAATACATAATAGACTTTATGTAGAAACTATTATACATTCCCGACTTCTCTTCCTATAATTTATTTTATTTATTCGAATCTATTTCTTTTGATATTATTTCCATTTTCACACACCAATGAAGTACATTGCTCTCGAGATAAACTATCGATATTATGTGCTGAGAAACAGTGAACAAAGGAATCTGTATCTAAATTCTTTCATGTATGGATGGATAATTTTCCTATTGATATTCATGAAGAATATACGATTGTATAAGAGAATATATATTAAGTAACATCTTGTTCTAAGAAACATTTTCCTAGATCTCTCTCACTGATATTTATTATTATATTCAAAGTCGAAGCATCAAAGTATGAAGATGAAAGCAATCTAATTTATATGATTTTTTTTCAATTTTTACTTTAAAAAATCTAACAGAAAAATATAAAAGATGGCCCGAAAGTCGGTTTACTGTTTAAGTTTATGTACTTTGAATTATCATCATTACCATCACAAATAACTTTGGACTTAATCTTCAATAAGGATGGCCCAAAAGTCAGTTGATCGTACAGTCGACCCCCCTGTAACACTGTTGATTTTTCCGTTTTATATGAATTCCATGTTGTACGAGTCACTTAGCTTTTACAAATACGTGTGCCGGTTTGTGAACGGCTCACGTATTTGTAAAATCTAAGTGACTCATACAACATGAAATTCATATAAAACGGAAAAATCAATAGTGTTATAGAGGGGTCGACTGTATTTCGTTTTGTGTGAACAAATTTTCTTGTTTTCCCCCCTATTATTTGACTTTTAATTGTTAAAATTTGACGAAATAAATAAGAAATACATTTACCAAAAAATATTCTTAATACACAAGAAAGATGACAGAATAAATGATTTGTAATAAGTCTCTGAGGCCCCATAAATGTGGGGCCATTTGACCTTGTCCTCTCAATGCTACCTTTTAACTGTATCCAGGCTCTACCACACCACAGCAGTAAAAATTGATCTATTCCTTTTGTATAGTTTATATATAACGTGAAATACCTTGTCCCTCTTGTGGTAGTGTCTCCTGTTACGTCATCACGTATAAAATTGGTCAGGCCCTATTTTTAACGAATTAATGTGAGTTTATACTATTTGAGCGTTATTAAAAACAGATAAATAAGTTATTTTAACTTTAATTTTTTAAATAACTTATTATACATTATGATTAGATGATGTAATTTTGATTTTATTCTCGTTTTTACTGTTGAAAGTTTAAAAAAAATATACTTAAAATTATAATTAAAGATTGAATGAGATAAATGGAAAAAAGGAAGTGTTACACCCTTTTATCACATTATACAGTTTGATCGTAAAATTATGCAGCACTTTGCGTTACGTATCAATGCTCGAGTGAATAACCTTTCCTTCAACTTGATTCACTTCGTCTAAGGTAATAGTAATAAGAAGAATTTTGAAGCCATTTTATGCCAAATTTAATAAGCTATCAAAGTAGATAAAATTCTGCAATAAAAATAATATAACACGCTACATAAAAATAATTAATTATTCATTTATCTAAGACATTGATATTCATTTTTTTAAATTATATTTATCTAGCCAAAGCAGCATGACTTGTGGAGCTGATGGTAAATGGTCTGGTGAACTTCCGTATTGTGGTAAGTATCATTTTCATAAAACGTAATTTATAATCGACAAAAAGTCTTCATTTATATAAATAATCGATTAAGAGTTCATTCGTTTCATTCAAACATGTTTATCACATAAATTTACAATTAAATTTCCGTATTCAGAATGCTGTACGGGATGAAAAATCAAAACTTTATTCAGTAGTTTGCTATTTTTAATTTATAAAATTTAAATAATTGTATAAATTATTTAAATTTTATAATATACTAAGTAAAATTTTTATTTATCCCTCTATAATACAGGATGGCCCAAAAGTCAATTAAGCATCGTAAAAGCTAACTTATTTACCATTTATACTCATAACTATACAGGGGCGGATCCAAGGCATTGGAGGCAGAGATCCTACATTCTACAGTTATAATCTTATTATATATATTCTGGTTACGGTCTCCCCATATAGGCTTGAGCCTCAAGGCTACAGCTCTGGATAAAGACGATTGTCCCCGGAGATTTACTCCTGGATCAGCCGTTGTATTTGGAATGCACAAAATAAAGCCTAACTAAAACCTTCCGACTACCCTGTAATATTTAAAAATTAATATACTGTAATACATTATAATTAATAATAAACGTAAATATTTTATCATTAAATTAATATAAACCTTTGATAATCTCGTAAATTATATGATATAGTGGAAAGAGTACAATATTCTTTAAAGAGTTGAAGAATAGCTGCGTGTGTCTGGTGTTGCTATAGCTTTAATTGGGTGGGGATTGGTGAAATTGGGTTGGGTGAGGGTGATATAAACAATAGTGTTATTAACCAAAGTGTACATTTATTGACCTGTGTATTTACAATAATGAAACTGCAATGTTATGTTAACGCTTGCTAGGGCTTAAGTTAAGAGAGAGTGGGATTTAGGTGTGGTTCGGGTGGATCACCACAGAATTATTTTCCCGTACTTTTTTCTCTGTTATATATAACAGAGGGAAAGTATGGCGATCGAACAAAAAATAACCCCCAGATTTTCTTAATAATTCCTGTGCTTTTTGTCGAAAATTTCTGAAATTTTGCAGGGAGGTTTGTTTATTAGGGGGATTGACGCTATTAAATTTTGGTGGTTAAAGATCGAGTGGTGGGGAGATAAAGGGTAGGTAGGGGAAGGTGAGGCAGGATGAGGACGTTAAGGTTTGAAAAGTCATAAGATGCCAACCATTTTAATGAGAACAATAATTTTTTTTCTNGGGGGGCCTAGTGGAGGCCAACCTGACACAAAATTGAATTATTTCAAATTATTGTTCATTATTGGGCACCGAGCAAGCCGTTCACCTTTTTTTAGTATTCAAAACTTTTATTTTAGCTTTAGGTTTTTACAAATCGACTCAACACTTTTTCGGCTGTGATTTCCTGGGGAGGGCACCAGGTTCCCTGGGAGGGGCCGTGCCCACCCAGGCTCCCCCCTCGCTACGCCCATGGCCAGACGTTATCCTACTGTGAATTTGCGTAACGCTTCCCAGGGGTACCATAGAGAACTATGATTGAACATTATCTCTCAATTAGATCCACGTATCCCAAAATTGAGAAGATTGGAGAACATCTGTCGTGAGGTCAAGGACCTTCGGGTACCAATTACCATGAAATAGTTGTTAGTATCATATTTTTATTGATTTAACTCGCAGAAACTTCGCACAATACAGTACTAACGATATATTTTCCTTTAAAAAAATTTCCAATAAAGCAAACAACTTGCACAGAATTACTAATTTTCTTATAATTATTATATTATTAATTATTATCTCTTAGTAAATACATTAATTAATTCATATTATAATATTTTTCCAGCCGTTAACGTGGCTTACGGTAAACCATCGAATCAGTCGAGTACTTCAAGAGGAGGTGAAGCAAATCATGCGAATGATGGAGACACGACGACGTTACATGAAAATAAATTCTGTAGCGAAACTAAAGTAGAAAGTTCTCCTTGGTGGCAAGTCGATTTACTACAATCCTATGAAGTTAGGATTGTTAGAATCATTACTAGAGGTTGTTGCGGTGAGATGTTTGTATTAACTTGACTATAAAGTACTAAAATAATTATTAAATTATCCTTATAGTGAGCCTTGTAAATTAATTAATCGAACTAGTTTAATGTTCAGTTAATTAACTAATTAATTTACTAAGTAAATATTTAATAAAATTAATAAAAATATTAACAAAAAAAATTTATATTTAGTACATAAATTGCTTGCTCTTTTGAATAATGGAATAATAATAATAATTATTATTATTATTTTCTTTTCGAAATATTCTATAAAATTAAAATTTGTATATTCTCTTCTATGAATAAAATAGGGCATCAACCAATTCACGATTTAGAAATTCGCATTGGCAACAGTTCAAGCGTTCAAGGAAACAGATTATGTGCTTGGTATCCCGGCACATTAGGTAAATATTTTGCAAATGGAATGTATTTTGTGGGCTATTAATCCCGGAAAAAGTATTTTAAGAAAAGATAAATTCTTTTGTTCTTTTTTTTTGTGAAAGTAACATGACTAGAAAGTAGACAAAAGTATTTATTTCTTATTGTAATATAAGGGATAATCTATAAAATTGCACAGATTTTCCCTCTCTCTTTCTCTCTCTTAATAAGTATTTTTTGTCTATTTTCAGTCACGTATATATAATATAAAGGCCTATATAATATAAGTGTATGTACTGGGTGATCATTATTGAGAAAAAAATATAAAATTCTTACTATTTAGGGACGATTATGGAAAAATCTTTCCTTATATTAGACGCAAATCTAGGGATTAATCCTAATCTCATACTTATTTAAAGATCTCCCAATCTAGAGATTATTTAATTAATATATTGATTTCTCCTAATTTAGAAATTAATTAGAATTAGTTAATTAGTGATAATTAAGTAATCTCTACATCTAAACAACCCCCGTCCTTCATTAATTTAGGGAAGATTATGGAAAATGCAAATCACAAATCACTAATTACCTTAAATTAACCCGTAATTACTTAAATGGAGGGAAAATGAGAATTACTTTGGGAAGATCCATGTTTTGGAGAGATCATTAGAGATCCATTTTCAAATTGGAAAATTTTATATCTTCCCTTATATTAGACACTATTCTACAGATATAATCGAAATTTAAATAAAAAAATTATTAATTTTTTTAAATATTTTCATTCAGATGATGGAATAAGTAAAGATTTTTCTTGCGCTTATCCAATTGTTGGACGTTACGTCTACATTCAAATGGTTGGAATACAGGGATCTCTCTCCTTATGTGAAGTTATGGTATTTACAACTCAAGGTATATCATATTCTTTTAGAATTTTTAAGTTTGTATACATGCATATAGTTTAAATTAAAATTTTTTGTTCTCAGAATTCTCTGCTGGAAGATGTGGAAATCAATTAGAACCATTAGAATTAACAACTTTCAACAGGACATGTTACGAATTTCAAGGGCAGAAAGGGGGTTCGTTTCAAGATGCCGAAGAATATTGCAGAGCTCGAGGTGGATTATTAGTGCATAATGTAGAGAACCTTATACAAAATTTCATTGCCGCTGAGTTGGAAAGAAGAAAAGAAAAGATGAAAGCCAATTTAGTATGGCTCGGAGTTAAACGAGATTCTGGTTTGGGCCGAAAATCAAGAATTTGGCATTGGGTTAATAGTAAGTTACGAACTATTTCTTTGTTATTGAACGTAAATTTCTGTTAAATATTATTAAATAATTGTTTTACTAATTGCTTACGCAATCCATAAAACCAAAATAAAATACGAGCAATTACTTACTAGAATATTTTCATGATAACAGACTGAAATTTTTATCATATTTTAATTTTAACGCTTCCCAGGGGTACCATAGAGAACTATGATTGAACATTATCTCTCAATTAGATCCACGTATCCCAAAATTGAGAAGATTGGAGAACATCTGTCGTGAGGTCAAGGACCTTCGGGTACCAATTACCATGAAATAGTTGTTAGTATCATATTTTTATTGATTTAACTCGCAGAAACTTCGCACAATACAGTACTAACGATATATTTTCCTTTAAAAAAATTTCCAATAAAGCAAACAACTTGCACAGAATTACTAATTTTCTTATAATTATTATATTATTAATTATTATCTCTTAGTAAATACATTAATTAATTCATATTATAATATTTTTCCAGCCGTTAACGTGGCTTACGGTAAACCATCGAATCAGTCGAGTACTTCAAGAGGAGGTGAAGCAAATCATGCGAATGATGGAGACACGACGACGTTACATGAAAATAAATTCTGTAGCGAAACTAAAGTAGAAAGTTCTCCTTGGTGGCAAGTCGATTTACTACAATCCTATGAAGTTAGGATTGTTAGAATCATTACTAGAGGTTGTTGCGGTGAGATGTTTGTATTAACTTGACTATAAAGTACTAAAATAATTATTAAATTATCCTTATAGCGAGACTTGTAAATTAATTAATCGAACTAGTTTAATGTTCAGTTAATTAACTAATTAATTTACTAAGTAAATATTTTATAAAATTAATAAAAATATTAACAAAAAAAATTTATATTTAGTACATAAATTGCTTGCTCTTTTGAATAATGGAATAATAATAATAATTATTATTATTATTTTCTTTTCGAAATATTCTATAAAATTAAAATTTGTATATTCTCTTCTATGAATAAAATAGGGCATCAACCAATTCACGATTTAGAAATTCGCATTGGCAACAGTTCAAGCGTTCAAGGAAACAGATTATGTGCTTGGTATCCCGGCACATTAGGTAAATATTTTGCAAATGGAATGTATTTTGTGGGCTATTAATCCCGGAAAAAGTATTTTAAGAAAAGATAAATTCTTTTGTTCTTTTTTTTTGTGAAAGTAACATGACTAGAAAGTAGACAAAAGTATTTATTTCTTATTGTAATATAAGGGATAATCTATAAAATTGCACAGATTTTCCCTCTCTCTTTCTCTCTCTTAATAAGTATTTTTTGTCTATTTTCAGTCACGTATATATAATATAAAGGCCTATATAATATAAGTGTATGTACTGGGTGATCATTATTGAGAAAAAAATATAAAATTCTTACTATTTAGGGACGATTATGGAAAAATCTTTCCTTATATTAGACGCAAATCTAGGGATTAATCCTAATCTCATACTTATTTAAAGATCTCCCAATCTAGAGATTATTTAATTAATATATTGATTTCTCCTAATTTAGAAATTAATTAGAATTAGTTAATTAGTGATAATTAAGTAATCTCTACATCTAAACAACCCCCGTCCTTCATTAATTTAGGGAAGATTATGGAAAATGCAAATCACAAATCACTAATTACCTTAAATTAACCCGTAATTACTTAAATGGAGGGAAAATGAGAATTACTTTGGGAAGATCCATGTTTTGGAGAGATCATTAGAGATCCATTTTCAAATTGGAAAATTTTATATCTTCCCTTATATTAGACACTATTCTACAGATATAATCGAAATTTAAATAAAAAAATTATTAATTTTTTTAAATATTTTCATTCAGATGATGGAATAAGTAAAGATTTTTCTTGCGCTTATCCAATTGTTGGACGTTACGTCTACATTCAAATGGTTGGAATACAGGGATCTCTCTCCTTATGTGAAGTTATGGTATTTACAACTCAAGGTATATCATATTCTTTTAGAATTTTTAAGTTTGTATACATGCATATAGTTTAAATTAAAATTTTTTGTTCTCAGAATTCTCTGCTGGAAGATGTGGAAATCAATTAGAACCATTAGAATTAACAACTTTCAACAGGACATGTTACGAATTTCAAGGGCAGAAAGGGGGTTCGTTTCAAGATGCCGAAGAATATTGCAGAGCTCGAGGTGGATTATTAGTGCATAATGTAGAGAACCTTATACAAAATTTCATTGCCGCTGAGTTGGAAAGAAGAAAAGAAAAGATGAAAGCCAATTTAGTATGGCTCGGAGTTAAACGAGATTCTGGTTTGGGCCGAAAATCAAGAATTTGGCATTGGGTTAATAGTAAGTTACGAACTATTTCTTTGTTATTGAACGTAAATTTCTGTTAAATATTATTAAATAATTGTTTTACTAATTGCTTACGCAATCCATAAAACCAAAATAAAATACGAGCAATTACTTACTAGAATATTTTCATGATAACAGACTGAAATTTTTATCATATTTTAATTTTAAAAAACACGTGTTTTTCGGTTCACACCGGACGTTTATATGTAGTTAATCGTGCTCTTAATTAGTTGTAATAATTAATTATTACAACTAATTATTATCATAAATTATATAACGTACTAAAATTTTATATTTTAAAACTGAATTAATGACAAATTTGTATATTTTATATTATGCAAAGCCAAAAAAAGGAGAAATTATGTCTCACTAGTTTTTATTCAACATTCGACATTTAAAATTTGATATGTTCTTTGAATTAGAAGAAAAAAAATTGATGTTTATGAATAAAACAGATTCCTTATCTATCAAAAAAATCTATATATCTGATTAGTATAGTTACAGTTTTTTATATACAATTATCTCGCTCCAGATCCACCCTTCTTGGATTCTTATCTATAATTTTTAAACCGTTCTATAATGTAATCTTATATATTTCCTTAAACTGGAAATTATTTTTCGTGTAAAACTATAATTTAATTATAGATATTAAGTTAATATAAGTATATACAATCTATTATATATAATTAAACTACCGTTCATATAATGCACACACCCCGCAGAAAATTGCTAGAACGAAAAGAAAACTTTTGCATATATTTCAAATTTTAAATGAAATTCAGTGAGTTAATATATATTTTCTTATTATTTAGAACAAGAAGTTCGAGAATTTTTATGGGCAGAAGATCAGCCAAATAATTATAACGGAAAGCAGAATTGTGTAGTGTTAGACGGTGGCAGAAAATGGCTTTGGAATGATGTTACGTGTGATTTAGATTACTTACCTTGGGTCTGTCAGTATGGTAAGTTCATATTTTTCAATTATAATTATCAATCACATCTGTCTGTACATAATTACATGATAAAATAGAAGTTCGTTAATCCGTTATTCTTGTAAAGTAGATAGGCGTAATAATCTGGAATTGTTCAACAATAATTCGGTATGCTAGTATTCCGCTCATATGTATCTTTTGTCAATCGTATGTATGTAGTACATGTTTAGAAATTAAATATTATATGCATATGAAATATCGGAAGCACTGTATTATCTTCAGGCACGCGTAAACAAATCGGAAGCAAACAACAGCGTGCGCTGGTACAGAATGTTCAACAATGTTTACTTATATTGTGCAATGCACAGGTTGCATATAACATAGTATTTTGTGAAAATACAAAAATGTCCGTTAATCCGTCATTTTCGATATTAAGGCACCACTCTGTTCCCATAGTTGACGGATAAACGAACTTCTACTGTATTAGCCTACTAAATCACATGTGAAACAAGTATTTAAATAAACAAACATTACGCGTGATTCTTATTTATTTGGTCTATTAAATGCAATTGCATATGAAACAGAAATCTGCATTCTGCTCTTTTCACTATTATAACATTATTCAATCTTAACTCGTATCCTCTGTTGTGAGATCCTCCTTCTGCTCTTGGATCTTCTTTTTCCTGGTATTGAATTTAGTATTACCTAGGTTAGCCCATCAGTGGATAAAAACCACTGAAAACTGGTTGTGGGTTCGCACCTCGCCACCAGCCCTACTAAACATGTAGTTTTTTTGAGTTTTCGTCACGTGTCTTACAGTAAGTAGGGATTAGTTGCCCATAGAAGATTCTCTCGGGAGGCAGATCGCCCACGTGTTGCGCTGCCTTATCCTGTTAAATCAAACCATTAATAACATATTTTTTAAAAATAAAAAGTAATTTCATTGTTTTAATTTTTAGTTCCATCCAGTTGTGGAAGTCCCGACAGCAAAGAAAATACAACAGCAATAGGAAAAGATTATAGATTGGGAAGAGAAGTTAAATATGCATGTCCTGTAGGTAGTATGTTGGTTGGTAACAAAATCAGAAGGTGTGCCTCTAATGGATTTTGGACTGGGACTGCTCCAACATGCAAACGTAAGCAAAACTTGCAAAATCGTAAAAACGAAATTAATAAGATAAAATGATAATATATTATTTTAAAAATTAATTTTTTCTTGATTTTTCAGATATCAATTGTAATTCATTAAATAGTATTCCACATGGAATAGTTATATACAAAGACTCCCGAACAACATTCAATGCTACTGCTGTTTATGTCTGTGATCAGAATTTCACTTTAACTGGAAATGATGTTCGATTTTGTGAAGGGAATGGAAAATGGAGTGGTAAAGAACCACAATGTCTAGGTAAATCCATATGATTAACCTCGTATGCAAGTTGCAGTGTCAGTTTTATGCAAAAGCAATCTATGCTTTTGCCTAGAAATAGGGAATTTAGGAGCCTCAGATACAATACATAGCTGCTGATACTTGGTATTGGTCTAGTCTTTGAAAATAGTATGATCGTAGCGAGATCCTATTGGATCCTCAGTGCTCATATCGCTCGACTCCAATAATAGTTAAGATCCTTATAATAATCGTGTGATAAAGACTTTCTAATCTATATAAAAGAGGCCTCATATCCACTCTGTTTTAGCACCAGGCATTGATTAAAACTGCCACTGATAAGAGTAATTTTATTCTAAAACATTTTATTTTTATTTGTAGTGAATTGGTGTCCTGATCTAAAGATTCCAGTTAATGGAAATATTGAAATCAAAGGTCTCAGAGCAAACGACACTGTTAAATATAGTTGTAATAAAGGGCATAAATTAGTAGGAAATGAAAACAGAACCTGTTTACTTGGAGGAAAATGGACAGGAGATGATCCAGTTTGCAAATGTAAGTTGTATATTTTTTATTCTGGTGAAACGTAGCTAATATCAAATAATTTTTAATTGTTTTTTAGTTCTTGACTGTGGAGAAGTGGATCCTGTAAAGCATGGCAAGCACCAATTACTTGATAATGTTACTACATACTTATCAAAAGTATCTTATACTTGCTTTGAAAATTACACCTTGGTCGGTGACAGTGAAAGAACCTGTCAAGATACTGGGTTGTGGAGTGGAACAGATCCAAAATGTGAAAGTAATTTATGCATTTTTTTATATATTATATATGCATTATATTTGTAAATATTTTAAGAAAAACATTATATTTTTACGGATTAATTAAATATTGTTTTCAACTCATATAAATTTAATTATTTTAAAAATTCATGTAAATATTTTTATTCTAGTAATCAACTGCGGAAACCCAGATTCGCCATTGGGTTCCTATTTCACAGGAGAGATCTTTACAATACATTCACAAATAGAGTATCATTGTGAATCTGGACATAAAATGTTTGGAAATTTTATAAGAACATGTTCGAAAGATGGAAATTGGACAGGACAACCACCAGAATGTCGCTGTGAGTCCCGTTTCTTCATTAGCTACATGACTGCTCAGCAAGATAGAGTTCGAATCCAGATCCTACTGTTGCAGGGATCCAGGTTCGAATTCGATCATGCCCAACATAATTTATCACGCGTCAAACTTAAGTATGGATCTATTTATGATTTTTTTATCCTTCATCCATCGCAATTTCGTTACTGATCGACTTCATTGCGAGTCAAGCTCAATCATAATTATGGACAGCCACATAGTTTACAATGTGCTGAAGCCATCTCTTCATTAACTAATGAATCAACCAATCCCTTTATTCAACGAAAACTATTTAAATTTAAATATTTATTGATAGTTAAATTTATCATATATTAATAATTATTTAATTAATACAATTTAGATATTGATTGTGGTCGAGTACAACCTATTTTGAAAGGAGAAGTTAATTATGTCAATAGTACAACGTTTCTGAATAGCATCTTGACCTATTCGTGTAGTAGAGGTTATCGTTTAATTGGAGGTAGTAGATTAAGAACTTGTCTGGAAGATGGTAAATGGTCGGGAAGTGCACCTAAATGTGAAGGTATGTAATTACCTAATTAAAACAGTTTTAATTTTCTAATGTATGTTATATTCATTCATATCGATTTTCTTATCAGAGGTTCGTTGTGTTCCACCGGAAGTACCCAAAAATGCTACTGTTATTTACGGAGGTAATGACCGTACTTCACTGGAATCGTTTAAAATTGGTGCAACAGTACAATATCGGTGCATCCCTGGTCATTTAGTAAGTGGAGAACCACTTCGTAGTTGTTTACCATCGGGAGTCTGGAGTGGTCAACCTCCTAGTTGCATGTGTAAGCTTTCGTAGCCATCACACAATTTACTAGATACTTTTACTCGTATATTCTAATAATTTATTCTTCAATATAGATGTAGATTGTGGACTACCTTCACCAGTGCCACATGGGAGATGGTTACTACCTTCAAATACTACATATTATGGTAACCAGGTAGAATACGAATGCGATAAGAATTACGAATTAAAGGGTCCCGGAAGAAGATTATGCCTGGAAAATGCATCTTGGAGTAATATTGAACCGGAGTGTCGAGGTAATATTTATCACTTTTTTTTTATTCGCTATTAAGTGCACTGTTTTATATAATATATAATTAATTTAGAGGTGTCTTGTGGAGAACCCGATAGAAGAGATAATATGACCATTATTGAAGGAAAGCACTTTGTTGTGACCAGTATAGTTACATATACATGTCAATACGGTTATAAACTAAAAGGAAATGGCACTCGAGTATGCCAAAGTAATGGATATTGGTCGGGCGTAGTGCCTCATTGTGAATGTAAGTAAAGAAATTTTGTTATTATATTTTTTTATATTATTATTTAAAAATGAAGTACAGTAATTGATATTACGGGTATAATAGAGTATAAGATAAAATTTGTTATTAAATTAAATAACCATATTATGAATTTTATTCTATGGCAAAACATTCTAATTACATATATTATACTATCAATATATTTTATAATTTTAACACTTATTATTTCTTAGATTTAAATGATGTAATTTTTCATTTACTGAACTTAAGATTCGAACTCGAAGAATGTAAAGAATCCTAAATAAAATTCTTTTGTATAGAAAGGGGATATTACGAAAATTATTCCTTATTCTATATTTTAAGGAAATTTTCTGGTAGAATCTAAGTTTTCACTTTCTGGAATTCAATTTTATAAAACTTGTTCTCACTGTTTATTTAATGATTTCAGCACGAATTCGTTTTCAAATTACTGTATTGTTTTTAGGTTAAAAACAATAGCATCTCCCTCGTTTAATTTTGCGATCTTTACAGAAAACCAGTAATTAAGTTTTAAAATTTAAATAAATTCTAGAAGAAATTAAATAAATGAATTAAAAACAAAAATTCAAATTAAATTTATTGTATTCTATACTCTTTGAAGTCTTTTCAAGAATTTTTGTTAATTTATAAAGAAATGTTTATTACATCTTTGCAATTATAGAACTTTTAGAATGCTTTATTTCAAACCCGATATTTTAATTTCATTCAATTTATCAAATATCAACCACAGTCGTGTGTTCGTGCCTCTCCAGTGGTTTGGCTAAGTGGAGTGTTTCAGGTTTTCTTCACGTTAGTAACACTTAAATGGGAGCCTAAATAAATGAATGCAAAGGAAATTATTTTAAGTGATTGATTTTTGCAATTATTTTCTCTCTTAAAATGGTTGATAGATGAACTGACATATAAAATTAATCAAATTTAAAGATACTTTATTATGTAATATGCCTACAAGTAATGAAAAGTCCTTTACTTACGGCTTGACTTATAAATAGCATTAAATAAAGATTGCACTATTGAATTCGCCTGAATATTTTAGAATTCCTTTGCCGAAACTAATGATTTTGAGCTATGATCTGTTTCCATTCCTTACATTAATGATGAAAAAGTCATTACATAGTTGAAGAGTTTTTTATGATATACTCTGTACGACTTTGAAAACCGGATGCCATTTATTAAATTAAATATTAGAGAAACGTTTAAAGAGGTCCTGGTAGAGGGGATGCTGCTGGTAGGATACAGAGAAATCTTTTATATTAAAATATATATTCTTATACAGGATACTAAAATGACATTTATGAAAACAAATTATAATTTATAAAAAAAAAGAACCATCCATTCGTTTATTAGTTTTATTGCTATGTTAAAAAAGATCTCAAAAGTATAAATAATGATCTTATATGAAAAACATTAATTTAACATGGAAAAAACTACTTTAAATTAAAGATTATTATTATTTTAAGTGGTGGACTGCGATTCTCCGGGGGTGATATTCAATGGACGTGGTTTCCTAGCGAATGGCACTACAACGTACGGCAGTGTAGTCGAATATAATTGTCTACCAGAATTTCAAATGGTAGGAAATCCAATTAGAAAGTGTACAGCTACGGGAGAATGGAGTGGAAAACCTCCTAAATGTATAGGTCAGTCGATTTCTCTCTCTATATTAATGACACGTAACTTTAATATAATTTTCTATCAACCAGTCTTAAGCAATATAACATATAAAAATTAATTTTTAATTAATGAATTATAATCTTATTTAATATTTTAATCACCGAAAATTTTTTTAGAATTTTATAAACAATTTCTTGAAATTTTTAAAAATTTTTAAATAATAATTTATCGAAAAAAAAAACATTTATATTTTAATATATTTACTATTAATTCAGTTATTTTCTTGCAGATTATTATAATTAATTTAATTAATTTTTATTATTTACAGATATTGTTAAAAATGAAGAAGCTGGGAGTAAGTATATGATCTTTAAATATTAATATATTAAAAAATATATACATTTAGAAAACAAATTAATTTCGTATTATAATATATTTTCTGGACATTTATAAATTTTAAAAATTCAGTAAATTCTGAACAAAATTTAATATGATGTTTCATTGAGAACACCGCATTTATTTCCATATTTTGTTAATAATAATCACACTAAGAAATCGTAAGTTTAAAATGATTAAAATTAGTTTAATTAGCTTTAAATTAAAATTTACATCTTACACATCTACAAAATTTAAACTTTTTCTGAAAATTTGTTTCAAACTTTTATAAAATAGTACTTTAATAGAAAACAGTAGCAATTCGTTAATCTGGAAAACCCTCAAGAGCAATCGATAATCTGGATTGAATTTGATTGTTTGTATAAATCAACGCAATACATGGTCAATCTGCCGAAGAGGGATGTCTCCCGAGAGGATTTTCTATGGGAAACTGGCCCCTATTTAGGTGTTGCAGACGTGAAAAAACCCGGAAAATTCCATATGGCCAGCCGTTGACAATGTATTACCACCACCTTCAGTGGTCCACTCGCCACTGGTGATTTCTATAATCTTAAATTGTCTGATAATAATCCGGCATGTTAGTGTTCCATTCCTGTGTAGCTTTTGTGAATCGTCATGTATACAGTAGTCTACACGTCCGGAAAATATATTGATGACTCGTACTTCGAACGTTTCAGAGTGCGAATGCTAAATTCGATCGGGAATTCAAGGTCCAAGTGGTGAGGTATAGATCCCTAACCCCAACTTCGAAAAATTTCTGAGGGTTTTTGATAAGTGCGCATTCGATCTCGGGTTCACCAAAGCGATAGGCTGCCACCTTAACCGTTCGACCATTCGTCCGTCAATTCGTGCATGTCAGCAAAACATAAACACAAATGATTTTGAATAAATATTGATAGATTATTTTTGATTCTTATGTAGATTATACATAACAGAAATTTCCTATTTCAGGACCTGATGGTCAAACCAGCAACGAAGATCTGGACATGTCAAAAACTATAGGTATATTTTTATTTTTATATTTATTATTTCATTATCAATTTTTTAAAACATTTTTAATCACAGGAATTGGCGTGGCTGTCGGAGCAGGAGCACTACTTATTCTTATTATAGTTGTAGCTATTGTTTGCATGAAAACGTAAGCATTTATAAATTAAATAAATTAAATTGTGTACTTTTTAATTTTAAAAATATTATTATTATTTTAAAGGAGGAAAGTACAAAAAGTAAAGAACACAGAAAACGTAGAGGTGAATAGAGTAGAAGATAAAGATAGAGCAGCTGTCATGTCTTATTCAAGATTAAGTTTAGAAACGGATAATAGTAATCACACGTTAAACGGAAATGGGGCCATAAGAAATAATCCAAATGGGCTAGTGACATTTAGTAGTGGTGGTACTCAACCGATCTATGCCAACGTTACAGTTAATGGTCAAAATATGAATTCACCCCACGTTCGAAATTCGAATTCTGCCGGACAGAGTAATAATTTGTAAATAAAAGTGCATATATTTTATTAAAGGAAGAANTGCGGTCGACCGGTCGACCGCAAAGGTTTTGAAAGTAGCCCGCGAAGCTAAAGTTGAACAATTTACTTTCACTTAAATTAAAAATCTTAATTCGATAATTTATTCTTACAATAATAGACTGTCTGTGCAACGTACCCATACTGTTTGTATTTATCCCGATGAACAATGCAAATAAACGTTAACGCATGCGCATATAAAAATCCTAAAATTGTTTGCCCATATTCATAGTCGCCCTCAGACTATATTTTACCAAAAAAGTAGCCCCTAAGGGATAAAAGTTTGGCCACACCTGTTGTAGATAATCAACATCAATATCAGTCATATCTCGCTACCTTTGTTGCAAACTTTCAATCCCTTGATCATGACTGGTGTCTTTGAACTGTATATTGGCAATATTGTTCTGGGCTTTAAGAAATTTCCAACCCAGACTGGTCAACTTCTCTATCTTTGCTGTATGTGCCGGCGTGTTGTCGTGATGGTATCGGACTTTGTCAGGTTTTAAATGAAGTTCTTTAATCACGGAACATTCAAGTTGTTATGCTAACTCTCTGGTGGTCAACCATGGATTATCATCTATTAGTTGCAAGAAAACGTCGTCATCAATGATGGAATTGATGCCTGGATGAAGTTCAAACCAGAAATCTGTATCCTTCAATTTCTTGAACTAATTGTAGTAGGTGTGCCTGTTGACTGTGTCCTCGTCAAATGACTTGCAGATGAGATCGTGAGGTTACGTTTTGGCCATTTTTGAAGTGATAGAACAACAGCATGCGAATCTGTTCTTTCAAAAGATTCATATTGTAATGAAATGCTCTTTGGTTACTCTATTTATATACCCACATCGAACATTTTAGAACATTTTTTCCATATCTAAAGTTCACCTTTTCGAATGAAGAAACTGACTGTATTGAGAAAAGTTCTAGAGAAGAAGAAGAAAATTTTTATTAGATTGCAACTTAATACAATTTAAGCTGTGTTTTTAATATCACTCATTATACTTAGTTTAGCTTCTTTTACATTCGAATAATAATAGCCGTACTTTTTTATTTTATAAATACGATTACTCCAAATTTACGAGTACCGTGCAATACATTTGAGGATTAAAAAATGAAGAGCAATGATCATAAATCTGCTGTTCACTATAACTCGTCTATAAAAATACATAATAGACTTTATGTAGAAACTATTATACATTCCCGACTTCTCTTCCTATAATTTATTTTATTTATTCGAATCTATTTCTTTTGATATTATTTCCATTTTCACACACCAATGAAGTACATTGCTCTCGAGATAAACTATCGATATTATGTGCTGAGAAACAGTGAACAAAGGAATCTGTATCTAAATTCTTTCATGTATGGATGGATAATTTTCCTATTGATATTCATGAAGAATATACGATTGTATAAGAGAATATATATTAAGTAACATCTTGTTCTAAGAAACATTTTCCTAGATCTCTCTCACTGATATTTATTATTATATTCAAAGTCGAAGCATCAAAGTATGAAGATGAAAGCAATCTAATTTATATGATTTTTTTTCAATTTTTACTTTAAAAAATCTAACAGAAAAATATAAAAGATGGCCCGAAAGTCGGTTTACTGTTTAAGTTTATGTACTTTGAATTATCATCATTACCATCACAAATAACTTTGGACTTAATCTTCAATAAGGATGGCCCAAAAGTCAATTAAGCATCGTAAAAGCTAACTTATTTACCATTTATACTCATAACTATACAGGGGCGGATCCAAGGCATTGGAGGCAGAGATCCTACATTCTACAGTTATAATCTTATTATATATATTCTGGTTACGGTCTCCCCATATAGGCTTGAGCCTCAAGGCTACAGCTCTGGATAAAGACGATTGTCTCCGGAGATTTACTCCTGGATCAGCCGTTGTATTTGGAATGCACAAAATAAAGCCTAACTAAAACCTTCCGACTACCCTGTAATATTTAAAAATTAATATACTGTAATACATTATAATTAATAATAAACGTAAATATTTTATCATTAAATTAATATAAACCTTTGATAATCTCGTAAATTATATGATATAGTGGAAAGAGTACAATATTCTTTAAAGAGTTGAAGAATAGCTGCGTGTGTCTGGTGTTGCTATAGCTTTAATTGGGTGGGGATTGGTGAAATTGGGTTGGGTGAGGGTGATATAAACAATAGTGTTATTAACCAAAGTGTACATTTATTGACCTGTGTATTTACAATAATGAAACTGCAATGTTATGTTAACGCTTGCTAGGGCTTAAGTTAAGAGAGAGTGGGATTTAGGTGTGGTTCGGGTGGATCACCACAGAATTATTTTCCCGTACTTTTTTCTCTGTTATATATAACAGAGGGAAAGTATGGCGATCGAACAAAAAATAACCCCCAGATTTTCTTAATAATTCCTGTGCTTTTTGTCGAAAATTTCTGAAATTTTGCAGGGAGGTTTGTTTATTAGGGGGATTGACGCTATTAAATTTTGGTGGTTAAAGATCGAGTGGTGGGGAGATAAAGGGTAGGTAGGGGAAGGTGAGGCAGGATGAGGACGTTAAGGTTTGAAAAGTCATAAGATGCCAACCATTTTAATGAGAACAATAATTTTTTTTCTCCCAGCAAGTACAACATTTGGAAATATTTTAATACAAAATTTAATTTTTGAAAAACGTTTTTAAAAACACGAAAATTTAATATTTTAAAATTATATGTAAATGCACCATCTTGCCCCACCCGTGGGATAAGATGGGAATATTATTTTTATATACAAGGAAAATAAATTAAAATGGTTCATCACAAATAACTTTGGACTTAATCTTCAATAAGGATGGCCCAAAAGTCAGTTGATCGTACAGTCGACCCCCCTGTAACACTGTTGATTTTTCCGTTTTATATGAATTCCATGTTGTACGAGTCACTTAGCTTTTACAAATACGTGTGCCGGTTTGTGAACGGCTCACGTATTTGTAAAATCTAAGTGACTCATACAACATGAAATTCATATAAAACGGAAAAATCAATAGTGTTATAGGGGNGTCAATCGTATGTATGTAGTACATGTTTAGAAATTAAATATTATATGCATATGAAATATCGGAAGCACTGTATTATCTTCAGGCACGCGTAAACAAATCGGAAGCAAACAACAGCGTGCGCTGGTACAGAATGTTCAACAATGTTTACTTATATTGTGCAATGCACAGGTTGCATATAACATAGTATTTTGTGAAAATACAAAAATGTCCGTTAATCCGTCATTTTCGATATTAAGGCACCACTCTGTTCCCATAGTTGACGGATAAACGAACTTCTACTGTATTAGCCTACTAAATCACATGTGAAACAAGTATTTAAATAAACAAACATTACGCGTGATTCTTATTTATTTGGTCTATTAAATGCAATTGCATATGAAACAGAAATCTGCATTCTGCTCTTTTCACTATTATAACATTATTCAATCTTAACTCGTATCCTCTGTTGTGAGATCCTCCTTCTGCTCTTGGATCTTCTTTTTCCTGGTATTGAATTTAGTATTACCTAGGTTAGCCCATCAGTGGATAAAAACCACTGAAAACTGGTTGTGGGTTCGCACCTCGCCACCAGCCCTACTAAACATGTAGTTTTTTTGAGTTTTCGTCACGTGTCTTACAGTAAGTAGGGATTAGTTGCCCATAGAAGATTCTCTCGGGAGGCAGATCGCCCACGTGTTGCGCTGCCTTATCCTGTTAAATCAAACCATTAATAACATATTTTTTAAAAATAAAAAGTAATTTCATTGTTTTAATTTTTAGTTCCATCCAGTTGTGGAAGTCCCGACAGCAAAGAAAATACAACAGCAATAGGAAAAGATTATAGATTGGGAAGAGAAGTTAAATATGCATGTCCTGTAGGTAGTATGTTGGTTGGTAACAAAATCAGAAGGTGTGCCTCTAATGGATTTTGGACTGGGACTGCTCCAACATGCAAACGTAAGCAAAACTTGCAAAATCGTAAAAACGAAATTAATAAGATAAAATGATAATATATTATTTTAAAAATTAATTTTTTCTTGATTTTTCAGATATCAATTGTAATTCATTAAATAGTATTCCACATGGAATAGTTATATACAAAGACTCCCGAACAACATTCAATGCTACTGCTGTTTATGTCTGTGATCAGAATTTCACTTTAACTGGAAATGATGTTCGATTTTGTGAAGGGAATGGAAAATGGAGTGGTAAAGAACCACAATGTCTAGGTAAATCCATATGATTAACCTCGTATGCAAGTTGCAGTGTCAGTTTTATGCAAAAGCAATCTATGCTTTTGCCTAGAAATAGGGAATTTAGGAGCCTCAGATACAATACATAGCTGCTGATACTTGGTATTGGTCTAGTCTTTGAAAATAGTATGATCGTAGCGAGATCCTATTGGATCCTCAGTGCTCATATCGCTCGACTCCAATAATAGTTAAGATCCTTATAATAATCGTGTGATAAAGACTTTCTAATCTATATAAAAGAGGCCTCATATCCACTCTGTTTTAGCACCAGGCATTGATTAAAACTGCCACTGATAAGAGTAATTTTATTCTAAAACATTTTATTTTTATTTGTAGTGAATTGGTGTCCTGATCTAAAGATTCCAGTTAATGGAAATATTGAAATCAAAGGTCTCAGAGCAAACGACACTGTTAAATATAGTTGTAATAAAGGGCATAAATTAGTAGGAAATGAAAACAGAACCTGTTTACTTGGAGGAAAATGGACAGGAGATGATCCAGTTTGCAAATGTAAGTTGTATATTTTTTATTCTGGTGAAACGTAGCTAATATCAAATAATTTTTAATTGTTTTTTAGTTCTTGACTGTGGAGAAGTGGATCCTGTAAAGCATGGCAAGCACCAATTACTTGATAATGTTACTACATACTTATCAAAAGTATCTTATACTTGCTTTGAAAATTACACCTTGGTCGGTGACAGTGAAAGAACCTGTCAAGATACTGGGTTGTGGAGTGGAACAGATCCAAAATGTGAAAGTAATTTATGCATTTTTTTATATATTATATATGCATTATATTTGTAAATATTTTAAGAAAAACATTATATTTTTACGGATTAATTAAATATTGTTTTCAACTCATATAAATTTAATTATTTTAAAAATTCATGTAAATATTTTTATTCTAGTAATCAACTGCGGAAACCCAGATTCGCCATTGGGTTCCTATTTCACAGGAGAGATCTTTACAATACATTCACAAATAGAGTATCATTGTGAATCTGGACATAAAATGTTTGGAAATTTTATAAGAACATGTTCGAAAGATGGAAATTGGACAGGACAACCACCAGAATGTCGCTGTGAGTCCCGTTTCTTCATTAGCTACATGACTGCTCAGCAAGATAGAGTTCGAATCCAGATCCTACTGTTGCAGGGATCCAGGTTCGAATTCGATCATGCCCAACATAATTTATCACGCGTCAAACTTAAGTATGGATCTATTTATGATTTTTTTATCCTTCATCCATCGCAATTTCGTTACTGATCGACTTCATTGCGAGTCAAGCTCAATCATAATTATGGACAGCCACATAGTTTACAATGTGCTGAAGCCATCTCTTCATTAACTAATGAATCAACCAATCCCTTTATTCAACGAAAACTATTTAAATTTAAATATTTATTGATAGTTAAATTTATCATATATTAATAATTATTTAATTAATACAATTTAGATATTGATTGTGGTCGAGTACAACCTATTTTGAAAGGAGAAGTTAATTATGTCAATAGTACAACGTTTCTGAATAGCATCTTGACCTATTCGTGTAGTAGAGGTTATCGTTTAATTGGAGGTAGTAGATTAAGAACTTGTCTGGAAGATGGTAAATGGTCGGGAAGTGCACCTAAATGTGAAGGTATGTAATTACCTAATTAAAACAGTTTTAATTTTCTAATGTATGTTATATTCATTCATATCGATTTTCTTATCAGAGGTTCGTTGTGTTCCACCGGAAGTACCCAAAAATGCTACTGTTATTTACGGAGGTAATGACCGTACTTCACTGGAATCGTTTAAAATTGGTGCAACAGTACAATATCGGTGCATCCCTGGTCATTTAGTAAGTGGAGAACCACTTCGTAGTTGTTTACCATCGGGAGTCTGGAGTGGTCAACCTCCTAGTTGCATGTGTAAGCTTTCGTAGCCATCACACAATTTACTAGATACTTTTACTCGTATATTCTAATAATTTATTCTTCAATATAGATGTAGATTGTGGACTACCTTCACCAGTGCCACATGGGAGATGGTTACTACCTTCAAATACTACATATTATGGTAACCAGGTAGAATACGAATGCGATAAGAATTACGAATTAAAGGGTCCCGGAAGAAGATTATGCCTGGAAAATGCATCTTGGAGTAATATTGAACCGGAGTGTCGAGGTAATATTTATCACTTTTTTTTTATTCGCTATTAAGTGCACTGTTTTATATAATATATAATTAATTTAGAGGTGTCTTGTGGAGAACCCGATAGAAGAGATAATATGACCATTATTGAAGGAAAGCACTTTGTTGTGACCAGTATAGTTACATATACATGTCAATACGGTTATAAACTAAAAGGAAATGGCACTCGAGTATGCCAAAGTAATGGATATTGGTCGGGCGTAGTGCCTCATTGTGAATGTAAGTAAAGAAATTTTGTTATTATATTTTTTTATATTATTATTTAAAAATGAAGTACAGTAATTGATATTACGGGTATAATAGAGTATAAGATAAAATTTGTTATTAAATTAAATAACCATATTATGAATTTTATTCTATGGCAAAACATTCTAATTACATATATTATACTATCAATATATTTTATAATTTTAACACTTATTATTTCTTAGATTTAAATGATGTAATTTTTCATTTACTGAACTTAAGATTCGAACTCGAAGAATGTAAAGAATCCTAAATAAAATTCTTTTGTATAGAAAGGGGATATTACGAAAATTATTCCTTATTCTATATTTTAAGGAAATTTTCTGGTAGAATCTAAGTTTTCACTTTCTGGAATTCAATTTTATAAAACTTGTTCTCACTGTTTATTTAATGATTTCAGCACGAATTCGTTTTCAAATTACTGTATTGTTTTTAGGTTAAAAACAATAGCATCTCCCTCGTTTAATTTTGCGATCTTTACAGAAAACCAGTAATTAAGTTTTAAAATTTAAATAAAAAAATTATTAATTTTTTTAAATATTTTCATTCAGATGATGGAATAAGTAAAGATTTTTCTTGCGCTTATCCAATTGTTGGACGTTACGTCTACATTCAAATGGTTGGAATACAGGGATCTCTCTCCTTATGTGAAGTTATGGTATTTACAACTCAAGGTATATCATATTCTTTTAGAATTTTTAAGTTTGTATACATGCATATAGTTTAAATTAAAATTTTTTGTTCTCAGAATTCTCTGCTGGAAGATGTGGAAATCAATTAGAACCATTAGAATTAACAACTTTCAACAGGACATGTTACGAATTTCAAGGGCAGAAAGGGGGTTCGTTTCAAGATGCCGAAGAATATTGCAGAGCTCGAGGTGGATTATTAGTGCATAATGTAGAGAACCTTATACAAAATTTCATTGCCGCTGAGTTGGAAAGAAGAAAAGAAAAGATGAAAGCCAATTTAGTATGGCTCGGAGTTAAACGAGATTCTGGTTTGGGCCGAAAATCAAGAATTTGGCATTGGGTTAATAGTAAGTTACGAACTATTTCTTTGTTATTGAACGTAAATTTCTGTTAAATATTATTAAATAATTGTTTTACTAATTGCTTACGCAATCCATAAAACCAAAATAAAATACGAGCAATTACTTACTAGAATATTTTCATGATAACAGACTGAAATTTTTATCATATTTTAATTTTAAAAAACACGTGTTTTTCGGTTCACACCGGACGTTTATATGTAGTTAATCGTGCTCTTAATTAGTTGTAATAATTAATTATTACAACTAATTATTATCATAAATTATATAACGTACTAAAATTTTATATTTTAAAACTGAATTAATGACAAATTTGTATATTTTATATTATGCAAAGCCAAAAAAAGGAGAAATTATGTCTCACTAGTTTTTATTCAACATTCGACATTTAAAATTTGATATGTTCTTTGAATTAGAAGAAAAAAAATTGATGTTTATGAATAAAACAGATTCCTTATCTATCAAAAAAATCTATATATCTGATTAGTATAGTTACAGTTTTTTATATACAATTATCTCGCTCCAGATCCACCCTTCTTGGATTCTTATCTATAATTTTTAAACCGTTCTATAATGTAATCTTATATATTTCCTTAAACTGGAAATTATTTTTCGTGTAAAACTATAATTTAATTATAGATATTAAGTTAATATAAGTATATACAATCTATTATATATAATTAAACTACCGTTCATATAATGCACACACCCCGCAGAAAATTGCTAGAACGAAAAGAAAACTTTTGCATATATTTCAAATTTTAAATGAAATTCAGTGAGTTAATATATATTTTCTTATTATTTAGAACAAGAAGTTCGAGAATTTTTATGGGCAGAAGATCAGCCAAATAATTATAACGGAAAGCAGAATTGTGTAGTGTTAGACGGTGGCAGAAAATGGCTTTGGAATGATGTTACGTGTGATTTAGATTACTTACCTTGGGTCTGTCAGTATGGTAAGTTCATATTTTTCAATTATAATTATCAATCACATCTGTCTGTACATAATTACATGATAAAATAGAAGTTCGTTAATCCGTTATTCTTGTAAAGTAGATAGGCGTAATAATCTGGAATTGTTCAACAATAATTCGGTATGCTAGTATTCCGCTCATATGTATCTTTTGTCAATCGTATGTATGTAGTACATGTTTAGAAATTAAATATTATATGCATATGAAATATCGGAAGCACTGTATTATCTTCAGGCACGCGTAAACAAATCGGAAGCAAACAACAGCGTGCGCTGGTACAGAATGTTCAACAATGTTTACTTATATTGTGCAATGCACAGGTTGCATATAACATAGTATTTTGTGAAAATACAAAAATGTCCGTTAATCCGTCATTTTCGATATTAAGGCACCACTCTGTTCCCATAGTTGACGGATAAACGAACTTCTACTGTATTAGCCTACTAAATCACATGTGAAACAAGTATTTAAATAAACAAACATTACGCGTGATTCTTATTTATTTGGTCTATTAAATGCAATTGCATATGAAACAGAAATCTGCATTCTGCTCTTTTCACTATTATAACATTATTCAATCTTAACTCGTATCCTCTGTTGTGAGATCCTCCTTCTGCTCTTGGATCTTCTTTTTCCTGGTATTGAATTTAGTATTACCTAGGTTAGCCCATCAGTGGATAAAAACCACTGAAAACTGGTTGTGGGTTCGCACCTCGCCACCAGCCCTACTAAACATGTAGTTTTTTTGAGTTTTCGTCACGTGTCTTACAGTAAGTAGGGATTAGTTGCCCATAGAAGATTCTCTCGGGAGGCAGATCGCCCACGTGTTGCGCTGCCTTATCCTGTTAAATCAAACCATTAATAACATATTTTTTAAAAATAAAAAGTAATTTCATTGTTTTAATTTTTAGTTCCATCCAGTTGTGGAAGTCCCGACAGCAAAGAAAATACAACAGCAATAGGAAAAGATTATAGATTGGGAAGAGAAGTTAAATATGCATGTCCTGTAGGTAGTATGTTGGTTGGTAACAAAATCAGAAGGTGTGCCTCTAATGGATTTTGGACTGGGACTGCTCCAACATGCAAACGTAAGCAAAACTTGCAAAATCGTAAAAACGAAATTAATAAGATAAAATGATAATATATTATTTTAAAAATTAATTTTTTCTTGATTTTTCAGATATCAATTGTAATTCATTAAATAGTATTCCACATGGAATAGTTATATACAAAGACTCCCGAACAACATTCAATGCTACTGCTGTTTATGTCTGTGATCAGAATTTCACTTTAACTGGAAATGATGTTCGATTTTGTGAAGGGAATGGAAAATGGAGTGGTAAAGAACCACAATGTCTAGGTAAATCCATATGATTAACCTCGTATGCAAGTTGCAGTGTCAGTTTTATGCAAAAGCAATCTATGCTTTTGCCTAGAAATAGGGAATTTAGGAGCCTCAGATACAATACATAGCTGCTGATACTTGGTATTGGTCTAGTCTTTGAAAATAGTATGATCGTAGCGAGATCCTATTGGATCCTCAGTGCTCATATCGCTCGACTCCAATAATAGTTAAGATCCTTATAATAATCGTGTGATAAAGACTTTCTAATCTATATAAAAGAGGCCTCATATCCACTCTGTTTTAGCACCAGGCATTGATTAAAACTGCCACTGATAAGAGTAATTTTATTCTAAAACATTTTATTTTTATTTGTAGTGAATTGGTGTCCTGATCTAAAGATTCCAGTTAATGGAAATATTGAAATCAAAGGTCTCAGAGCAAACGACACTGTTAAATATAGTTGTAATAAAGGGCATAAATTAGTAGGAAATGAAAACAGAACCTGTTTACTTGGAGGAAAATGGACAGGAGATGATCCAGTTTGCAAATGTAAGTTGTATATTTTTTATTCTGGTGAAACGTAGCTAATATCAAATAATTTTTAATTGTTTTTTAGTTCTTGACTGTGGAGAAGTGGATCCTGTAAAGCATGGCAAGCACCAATTACTTGATAATGTTACTACATACTTATCAAAAGTATCTTATACTTGCTTTGAAAATTACACCTTGGTCGGTGACAGTGAAAGAACCTGTCAAGATACTGGGTTGTGGAGTGGAACAGATCCAAAATGTGAAAGTAATTTATGCATTTTTTTATATATTATATATGCATTATATTTGTAAATATTTTAAGAAAAACATTATATTTTTACGGATTAATTAAATATTGTTTTCAACTCATATAAATTTAATTATTTTAAAAATTCATGTAAATATTTTTATTCTAGTAATCAACTGCGGAAACCCAGATTCGCCATTGGGTTCCTATTTCACAGGAGAGATCTTTACAATACATTCACAAATAGAGTATCATTGTGAATCTGGACATAAAATGTTTGGAAATTTTATAAGAACATGTTCGAAAGATGGAAATTGGACAGGACAACCACCAGAATGTCGCTGTGAGTCCCGTTTCTTCATTAGCTACATGACTGCTCAGCAAGATAGAGTTCGAATCCAGATCCTACTGTTGCAGGGATCCAGGTTCGAATTCGATCATGCCCAACATAATTTATCACGAGTCAAATTTAAGTATGGATCCAATTATGGTTTTTTATCCTTCATCCATCGCAATTTCGTTACTGATCGACTTCATTGCGAGTCAAGCTCAATCATAATTATGGACAGCCACATAGTTTACAATGTGCTGAAGGCATCTCTTCATTAACTAATGAATCAACCAATCCCTTTATTCAACGAAAACTATTTAAATTTAAATATTTATTGATAGTTAAATTTATCATATATTAATAATTATTTAATTAATACAATTTAGATATTGATTGTGGTCGAGTACAACCTATTTTGAAAGGAGAAGTTAATTATGTCAATAGTACAACGTTTCTGAATAGCATCTTGACCTATTCGTGTAGTAGAGGTTATCGTTTAATTGGAGGTAGTATATTGAGAACTTGTCTGGAAGATGGTAAATGGTCGGGAAGTGCACCTAAATGTGAAGGTATGTAATTACCTAATTAAAACAGTTTTAATTTTCTAATGTATGTTATATTTGTTTATATCGATTTTCTTATCAGAGGTTCGTTGTGTTCCACCGGAAGTACCCAAAAATGCTACTGTTATTTACGGAGGTAATGACCGTACTTCACTGGAATCGTTTAAAATTGGTGCAACAGTACAATATCGGTGCATCCCTGGTCATTTAGTAAGTGGAGAACCACTTCGTAGTTGTTTACCATCGGGAGTCTGGAGTGGTCAACCTCCTAGTTGCATGTGTAAGCTTTCGTAGCCATCACACAATTTACTAGATACTTTTATATTCTAATAATTTATTCTTCAATATAGATGTAGATTGTGGACTACCTTCACCAGTGCCACATGGGAGATGGTTACTACCTTCAAATACTACATATTATGGTAACCAGGTAGAATACGAATGCGATAAGAATTACGAATTAAAGGGTCCCGGAAGAAGATTATGCCTGGAAAATGCATCTTGGAGTAATATTGAACCGGAGTGTCGAGGTAATATTTATCACTTTTTTTTTATTCGCTATTAAGTGCACTGTTTTATATAATATATAATTAATTTAGAGGTGTCTTGTGGAGAACCCGATAGAAGAGATAATATGACCATTATTGAAGGAAAGCACTTTGTTGTGACCAGTATAGTTACATATACATGTCAATACGGTTATAAACTAAAAGGAAATGGCACTCGAGTATGCCAAAGTAATGGATATTGGTCGGGCGTAGTGCCTCATTGTGAATGTAAGTAAAGAAATTTTGTTATTATATTTTTTTATATTATTATTTAAAAATGAAGTACAGTAATTGATATTACGGGTATAATAGAGTATAAGATAAAATTTGTTATTAAATTAAATAACCATATTATGAATTTTATTCTATGGCAAAACATTCTAATTACATATATTATACTATCAATATATTTTATAATTTTAACACTTATTATTTCTTAGATTTAAATGATGTAATTTTTCATTTACTGAACTTAAGATTCGAACTCGAAGAATGTAAAGAATCCTAAATAAAATTCTTTTGTATAGAAAGGGGATATTACGAAAATTATTCCTTATTCTATATTTTAAGGAAATTTTCTGGTAGAATCTAAGTTTTCACTTTCTGGAATTCAATTTTATAAAACTTGTTCTCACTGTTTATTTAATGATTTCAGCACGAATTCGTTTTCAAATTACTGTATTGTTTTTAGGTTAAAAACAATAGCATCTCCCTCGTTTAATTTTGCGATCTTTACAGAAAACCAGTAATTAAGTTTTAAAATTTAAATAAATTCTAGAAGAAATTAAATAAATGAATTAAAAACAAAAATTCAAATTAAATTTATTGTATTCTATACTCTTTGAAGTCTTTTCAAGAATTTTTGTTAATTTATAAAGAAATGTTTATTACATCTTTGCAATTATAGAACTTTTAGAATGCTTTATTTCAAACCCGATATTTTAATTTCATTCAATTTATCAAATATCAACCACAGTCGTGTGTTCGTGCCTCTCCAGTGGTTTGGCTAAGTGGAGTGTTTCAGGTTTTCTTCACGTTAGTAACACTTAAATGGGAGCCTAAATAAATGAATGCAAAGGAAATTATTTTAAGTGATTGATTTTTGCAATTATTTTCTCTCTTAAAATGGTTGATAGATGAACTGACATATAAAATTAATCAAATTTAAAGATACTTTATTATGTAATATGCCTACAAGTAATGAAAAGTCCTTTACTTACGGCTTGACTTATAAATAGCATTAAATAAAGATTGCACTATTGAATTCGCCTGAATATTTTAGAATTCCTTTGCCGAAACTAATGATTTTGAGCTATGATCTGTTTCCATTCCTTACATTAATGATGAAAAAGTCATTACATAGTTGAAGAGTTTTTTATGATATACTCTGTACGACTTTGAAAACCGGATGCCATTTATTAAATTAAATATTAGAGAAACGTTTAAAGAGGTCCTGGTAGAGGGGATGCTGCTGGTAGGATACAGAGAAATCTTTTATATTAAAATATATATTCTTATACAGGATACTAAAATGACATTTATGAAAACAAATTATAATTTATAAAAAAAAAGAACCATCCATTCGTTTATTAGTTTTATTGCTATGTTAAAAAAGATCTCAAAAGTATAAATAATGATCTTATATGAAAAACATTAATTTAACATGGAAAAAACTACTTTAAATTAAAGATTATTATTATTTTAAGTGGTGGACTGCGATTCTCCGGGGGTGATATTCAATGGACGTGGTTTCCTAGCGAATGGCACTACAACGTACGGCAGTGTAGTCGAATATAATTGTCTACCAGAATTTCAAATGGTAGGAAATCCAATTAGAAAGTGTACAGCTACGGGAGAATGGAGTGGAAAACCTCCTAAATGTATAGGTCAGTCGATTTCTCTCTCTATATTAATGACACGTAACTTTAATATAATTTTCTATCAACCAGTCTTAAGCAATATAACATATAAAAATTAATTTTTAATTAATGAATTATAATCTTATTTAATATTTTAATCACCGAAAATTTTTTTAGAATTTTATAAACAATTTCTTGAAATTTTTAAAAATTTTTAAATAATAATTTATCGAAAAAAAAAACATTTATATTTTAATATATTTACTATTAATTCAGTTATTTTCTTGCAGATTATTATAATTAATTTAATTAATTTTTATTATTTACAGATATTGTTAAAAATGAAGAAGCTGGGAGTAAGTATATGATCTTTAAATATTAATATATTAAAAAATATATACATTTAGAAAACAAATTAATTTCGTATTATAATATATTTTCTGGACATTTATAAATTTTAAAAATTCAGTAAATTCTGAACAAAATTTAATATGATGTTTCATTGAGAACACCGCATTTATTTCCATATTTTGTTAATAATAATCACACTAAGAAATCGTAAGTTTAAAATGATTAAAATTAGTTTAATTAGCTTTAAATTAAAATTTACATCTTACACATCTACAAAATTTAAACTTTTTCTGAAAATTTGTTTCAAACTTTTATAAAATAGTACTTTAATAGAAAACAGTAGCAATTCGTTAATCTGGAAAACCCTCAAGAGCAATCGATAATCTGGATTGAATTTGATTGTTTGTATAAATCAACGCAATACATGGTCAATCTGCCGAAGAGGGATGTCTCCCGAGAGGATTTTCTATGGGAAACTGGCCCCTATTTAGGTGTTGCAGACGTGAAAAAACCCGGAAAATTCCATATGGCCAGCCGTTGACAATGTATTACCACCACCTTCAGTGGTCCACTCGCCACTGGTGATTTCTATAATCTTAAATTGTCTGATAATAATCCGGCATGTTAGTGTTCCATTCCTGTGTAGCTTTTGTGAATCGTCATGTATACAGTAGTCTACACGTCCGGAAAATATATTGATGACTCGTACTTCGAACGTTTCAGAGTGCGAATGCTAAATTCGATCGGGAATTCAAGGTCCAAGTGGTGAGGTATAGATCCCTAACCCCAACTTCGAAAAATTTCTGAGGTTTTTTGATAAGTGCGCATTCGATCTCGGGTCCACCAAAGCGATAGGCTGCCACCTTAACCGTTCGACCATTCGGCCGTCAATTCGTGCATGTCAGCAAAACATAAACACAAATGAATTTGAATAAATATTGATAGATTATTTTTGATTCTTATGTAGATTATACATAACAGAAATTTCCTATTTCAGGACCTGATGGTCAAACCAGCAACGAAGATCTGGACATGTCAAAAACTATAGGTATATTTTTATTTTTATATTTATTATTTCATTATCAATTTTTTAAAACATTTTTAATCACAGGAATTGGCGTGGCTGTCGGAGCAGGAGCACTACTTATTCTTATTATAGTTGTAGCTATTGTTTGCATGAAAACGTAAGCATTTATAAATTAAATAAATTAAATTGTGTACTTTTTAATTTTAAAAATATTATTATTATTTTAAAGGAGGAAAGTACAAAAAGTAAAGAACACAGAAAACGTAGAGGTGAATAGAGTAGAAGATAAAGATAGAGCAGCTGTCATGTCTTATTCAAGATTAAGTTTAGAAACGGATAATAGTAATCACACGTTAAACGGAAATGGGGCCATAAGAAATAATCCAAATGGGCTAGTGACATTTAGTAGTGGTGGTACTCAACCGATCTATGCCAACGTTACAGTTAATGGTCAAAATATGAATTCACCCCACGTTCGAAATTCGAATTCTGCCGGACAGAGTAATAATTTGTAAATAAAAGTGCATATATTTTATTAAAGGAAGAAAAATTTATACATAAATAAATATATATTTGAACTTTGAACTTTCATGAAACGAGTGATCTCCAGGATTCATGAAACAAAACATGTCTTAGTTTCTCAGGGTATGTGTGTTCAAATGTGAAAATATTTTGTAGAAATATTAAATGATGAGTGAATGCTTTTTATTATTTGTATGGGAAGATTTTTCTCGTTTTATAAAAGTCATTTAATTTTATGTTTTAGAATACATTCAAAATCAAGAGTTTTCAATCTTTTACGCTAGTCGACTTCTTCCTAAAATTGCATGTAATTTACTGACCTTTTTCTAAGCTTTCTTTTTAATTCTTTCTTTGCTGTGGGCACTAAGAGGGCCCTTCGAGGGTTCGGCCGGGCTTACAATGTGACAGCCGGGTAGTGAGAGTTAGACCGCTTCCGGAAAATTCCCTATGGTTTTCCTTTTCAGAACGATCTGTCCGTTTAAATTATACTTTTTTATCTGGTAAGCACAATTTCCAGATAAATCGCTTGAACTTTTGGGGATCACTAGCGACCAGATTGAAAACCCCTGCAAGAAACTGTCAATTGTACTTATTTTTAAAAAATTTCTGATCCATTCTTCAAATATCTTGTCTTTGTAAAGATTTTATATGATATTTAATATCTGTATCAAATTGAAAATAATATAAAATTTTACTTAGAGCACTTTTTATATGAGTAAATTCTGATATAGGAAGCACCGTAGCGACTAACTATATTATAAATGAGGATATTTTTGTCCTCTTTGTATTTATAACAATAATTTTTACGGTATAAATAAACTATTTTAATATGTTATAAAATGACTCATGGATACGTTACTCATGTCATTTTATGATAATTATAAACTTGACCTATTTTGCTTAAGTCATTGTCCTTTTTTAGAGATTTTCAGTAGAAAATAGCTATAAAACCACTCTAAAGCTGGTTTAAAGCTTTTACATATGATATAACTTTACAAAATATACCTATTACTCAAATAAAATTAAAAACTTGAGTGTAACCTTGAAGATAATTATTCAGTTTTATAGTGTTTCTAGGGATAAATTTGATACCCACCCCTTTGCAATTCATGATCATTGATACATGATTATTATCTTATTATATAGACTTATTTTATTAAAGTTAATGTAGAAATTTTATATAGTCAGAGCCAGGTTTAAAGTTCTTACGATCTTTAGGTATAACATAGAAGAAACGTAAACACAGGCCTTAAGGCCCGAGCAGTAGCAAGTTTCGTTCGTATAAATCCGAACTTTCATCACTGAAATTCTCTCGTTTGATTTTAACAATTTATTCCTACATCCACCAATCTCGGGTTATAGTATGGAAAGTAATGAAACGAAATGCTGTTGTCCAGTGATGCACCAAAAGAGGGTCTGGCACTCTCTAAAGAAAAAGGAAAATAAAAAACTACAAAAATCTCTTCCTATTTATATTGTCGTGTCTTCTATTTCTATACTACTTTATGAATTAGCGGTCAAATAAGATAGGAATTTTATTGAATTTGCATTAAATTTGTTTTTTTATCCGTTCAACTCGACTTCCCCAAGATTAAATCCTGAGTGCTCCACTGTTGTTGTCTGTGCAAATTATTTTACAATAGAACGGAGCAAGAGAGCCGAAGCAGCTAATGCCCAACAAGCCTGTCAAACAACAACAAATCTCTTTCTTAACATGAAGTCAACATTGTAAACTAATCAATTTATTCTTGGTTCTATATTTCTGGTCACATGAGCGAATTTGGTCTTTGAGCCTAACATCTACACTAGAAAAATAACAATAAATTCTGTACAAGTGAATAGAAAATAATCTGATTATAACGGAACTAAATATTTCGTCGTTTAATGGAAAATCTGCTGCTGTAAATTTGATATAATTTTTCTTTCTAAGCTTCATAATTAATATCTTTTAAGACTTTTTATGACAGCTTTACGACCTTTTTTCTATGACCTTACGACTACTATGACAGCTTCTTTCACTTTACATACATACTGTATAAAAAATATTTGATAGATTTTATTTAAAACTTTGTTTAAGACACATGCACAAACACAGAAAGACACACAAAATTTTGTAAGAGGTTTTTTTAACATTAACATACAAAAAACACGGAAGGGTCAAAATTTGGCTGATCACTATACTTTTCCTGTGTTATATCCTATAACAGTCGGAAAAATAAAATAAATAAATATATATATATATAGGCTATATGTATATAAACAATACAATCGTTTTCTTTTGACTGATAGATAATACATAATATAATTGCTTAAATTTAGAAAAGTCTGCCCTATTTTATATTCCTTGTTTTAGAAACTAGGAAGTTGATTATATTAAGTAAATATATTACAGTCGAGTCCACTTAACAAAGCATAGGATAAGACAGCCATGTTCTCCATTTATAATACATCACAACACAGACACATAGGGATGGGCTTTCATGCTGCCCAAACTACGACTCCTAGCCAAGTCCGCCTGCGAACATATTTGACACATTGCTTATATATGTGGCCCGCCAACCAAAAAGTTTGGGCACCACAGGACTAAATTATTTATTGAAATTTGACAAAATCTTTTATTGGTCAGTTTTCTAATAACGGATAGTAAAACGTTTTCTTGCAGAATCATAATGAACAGGTTTTATTGGATATGCACNTGCTACTGTTATTTACGGAGGTAATGACCGTACTTCACTGGAATCGTTTAAAATTGGTGCAACAGTACAATATCGGTGCATCCCTGGTCATTTAGTAAGTGGAGAACCACTTCGTAGTTGTTTACCATCGGGAGTCTGGAGTGGTCAACCTCCTAGTTGCATGTGTAAGCTTTCGTAGCCATCACACAATTTACTAGATACTTTTACTCGTATATTCTAATAATTTATTCTTCAATATAGATGTAGATTGTGGACTACCTTCACCAGTGCCACATGGGAGATGGTTACTACCTTCAAATACTACATATTATGGTAACCAGGTAGAATACGAATGCGATAAGAATTACGAATTAAAGGGTCCCGGAAGAAGATTATGCCTGGAAAATGCATCTTGGAGTAATATTGAACCGGAGTGTCGAGGTAATATTTATCACTTTTTTTTTATTCGCTATTAAGTGCACTGTTTTATATAATATATAATTAATTTAGAGGTGTCTTGTGGAGAACCCGATAGAAGAGATAATATGACCATTATTGAAGGAAAGCACTTTGTTGTGACCAGTATAGTTACATATACATGTCAATACGGTTATAAACTAAAAGGAAATGGCACTCGAGTATGCCAAAGTAATGGATATTGGTCGGGCGTAGTGCCTCATTGTGAATGTAAGTAAAGAAATTTTGTTATTATATTTTTTTATATTATTATTTAAAAATGAAGTACAGTAATTGATATTACGGGTATAATAGAGTATAAGATAAAATTTGTTATTAAATTAAATAACCATATTATGAATTTTATTCTATGGCAAAACATTCTAATTACATATATTATACTATCAATATATTTTATAATTTTAACACTTATTATTTCTTAGATTTAAATGATGTAATTTTTCATTTACTGAACTTAAGATTCGAACTCGAAGAATGTAAAGAATCCTAAATAAAATTCTTTTGTATAGAAAGGGGATATTACGAAAATTATTCCTTATTCTATATTTTAAGGAAATTTTCTGGTAGAATCTAAGTTTTCACTTTCTGGAATTCAATTTTATAAAACTTGTTCTCACTGTTTATTTAATGATTTCAGCACGAATTCGTTTTCAAATTACTGTATTGTTTTTAGGTTAAAAACAATAGCATCTCCCTCGTTTAATTTTGCGATCTTTACAGAAAACCAGTAATTAAGTTTTAAAATTTAAATAAATTCTAGAAGAAATTAAATAAATGAATTAAAAACAAAAATTCAAATTAAATTTATTGTATTCTATACTCTTTGAAGTCTTTTCAAGAATTTTTGTTAATTTATAAAGAAATGTTTATTACATCTTTGCAATTATAGAACTTTTAGAATGCTTTATTTCAAACCCGATATTTTAATTTCATTCAATTTATCAAATATCAACCACAGTCGTGTGTTCGTGCCTCTCCAGTGGTTTGGCTAAGTGGAGTGTTTCAGGTTTTCTTCACGTTAGTAACACTTAAATGGGAGCCTAAATAAATGAATGCAAAGGAAATTATTTTAAGTGATTGATTTTTGCAATTATTTTCTCTCTTAAAATGGTTGATAGATGAACTGACATATAAAATTAATCAAATTTAAAGATACTTTATTATGTAATATGCCTACAAGTAATGAAAAGTCCTTTACTTACGGCTTGACTTATAAATAGCATTAAATAAAGATTGCACTATTGAATTCGCCTGAATATTTTAGAATTCCTTTGCCGAAACTAATGATTTTGAGCTATGATCTGTTTCCATTCCTTACATTAATGATGAAAAAGTCATTACATAGTTGAAGAGTTTTTTATGATATACTCTGTACGACTTTGAAAACCGGATGCCATTTATTAAATTAAATATTAGAGAAACGTTTAAAGAGGTCCTGGTAGAGGGGATGCTGCTGGTAGGATACAGAGAAATCTTTTATATTAAAATATATATTCTTATACAGGATACTAAAATGACATTTATGAAAACAAATTATAATTTATAAAAAAAAAGAACCATCCATTCGTTTATTAGTTTTATTGCTATGTTAAAAAAGATCTCAAAAGTATAAATAATGATCTTATATGAAAAACATTAATTTAACATGGAAAAAACTACTTTAAATTAAAGATTATTATTATTTTAAGTGGTGGACTGCGATTCTCCGGGGGTGATATTCAATGGACGTGGTTTCCTAGCGAATGGCACTACAACGTACGGCAGTGTAGTCGAATATAATTGTCTACCAGAATTTCAAATGGTAGGAAATCCAATTAGAAAGTGTACAGCTACGGGAGAATGGAGTGGAAAACCTCCTAAATGTATAGGTCAGTCGATTTCTCTCTCTATACCTATATTTTATCATTAAACAATACTTACTGATTAAACTGTTACAGTTTAATTAAAAAAATCGGAAATTGTATTTTGACATATTAATTTTTTATAAAGGAAATTAATTTTTTCTTGATTTTTCAGATATCAATTGTAATTCATTAAATAGTATTCCACATGGAATAGTTATATACAAAGACTCCCGAACAACATTCAATGCTACTGCTGTTTATGTCTGTGATCAGAATTTCACTTTAACTGGAAATGATGTTCGATTTTGTGAAGGGAATGGAAAATGGAGTGGTAAAGAACCACAATGTCTAGGTAAATCCATATGATTAACCTCGTATGCAAGTTGCAGTGTCAGTTTTATGCAAAAGCAATCTATGCTTTTGCCTAGAAATAGGGAATTTAGGAGCCTCAGATACAATACATAGCTGCTGATACTTGGTATTGGTCTAGTCTTTGAAAATAGTATGATCGTAGCGAGATCCTATTGGATCCTCAGTGCTCATATCGCTCGACTCCAATAATAGTTAAGATCCTTATAATAATCGTGTGATAAAGACTTTCTAATCTATATAAAAGAGGCCTCATATCCACTCTGTTTTAGCACCAGGCATTGATTAAAACTGCCACTGATAAGAGTAATTTTATTCTAAAACATTTTATTTTTATTTGTAGTGAATTGGTGTCCTGATCTAAAGATTCCAGTTAATGGAAATATTGAAATCAAAGGTCTCAGAGCAAACGACACTGTTAAATATAGTTGTAATAAAGGGCATAAATTAGTAGGAAATGAAAACAGAACCTGTTTACTTGGAGGAAAATGGACAGGAGATGATCCAGTTTGCAAATGTAAGTTGTATATTTTTTATTCTGGTGAAACGTAGCTAATATCAAATAATTTTTAATTGTTTTTTAGTTCTTGACTGTGGAGAAGTGGATCCTGTAAAGCATGGCAAGCACCAATTACTTGATAATGTTACTACATACTTATCAAAAGTATCTTATACTTGCTTTGAAAATTACACCTTGGTCGGTGACAGTGAAAGAACCTGTCAAGATACTGGGTTGTGGAGTGGAACAGATCCAAAATGTGAAAGTAATTTATGCATTTTTTTATATATTATATATGCATTATATTTGTAAATATTTTAAGAAAAACATTATATTTTTACGGATTAATTAAATATTGTTTTCAACTCATATAAATTTAATTATTTTAAAAATTCATGTAAATATTTTTATTCTAGTAATCAACTGCGGAAACCCAGATTCGCCATTGGGTTCCTATTTCACAGGAGAGATCTTTACAATACATTCACAAATAGAGTATCATTGTGAATCTGGACATAAAATGTTTGGAAATTTTATAAGAACATGTTCGAAAGATGGAAATTGGACAGGACAACCACCAGAATGTCGCTGTGAGTCCCGTTTCTTCATTAGCTACATGACTGCTCAGCAAGATAGAGTTCGAATCCAGATCCTACTGTTGCAGGGATCCAGGTTCGAATTCGATCTTGCCCAACATAATTTATCACGAGTCAAATTTAAGTATGGATCCAATTATGGTTTTTTATCCTTCATCCATCGCAATTTCGTTACTGATCGACTTCATTGCGAGTCAAGCTCAATCATAATTATGGACAGCCACATAGTTTACAATGTGCTGAAGCCATCTCTTCATTAACTAATGAATCAACCAATCCCTTTATTCAACGAAAACTATTTAAATTTAAATATTTATTGATAGTTAAATTTATCATATATTAATAATTATTTAATTAATACAATTTAGATATTGATTGTGGTCGAGTACAACCTATTTTGAAAGGAGAAGTTAATTATGTCAATAGTACAACGTTTCTGAATAGCATCTTGACCTATTCGTGTAGTAGAGGTTATCGTTTAATTGGAGGTAGTATATTGAGAACTTGTCTCGAAGATGGTAAATGGTCGGGAAGTGCACCTAAATGTGAAGGTATGTAATTACCTAATTAAAACAATTTAAATTTTCTAATGTATGTTATATGTGTGTATATCGATTTTCTTATCAGAGGTTCGTTGTGTTCCACCGGAAGTACCCAAAAATGCTACTGTTATTTACGGAGGTAATGACCGTACTTCACTGGAATCGTTTAAAATTGGTGCAACAGTACAATATCGGTGCATCCCTGGTCATTTAGTAAGTGGAGAACCACTTCGTAGTTGTTTACCATCGGGAGTCTGGAGTGGTCAACCTCCTAGTTGCATGTGTAAGCTTTCGTAGCCATCACACAATTTACTAGATACTTTTATATTCTAATAATTTATTCTTCAATATAGATGGAGACTGTGGATTACCTTCACCAGTGCCACATGGACGATGGTTACTACCTTCAAATACTACATATTATGGTAACCAGGTAGAATACGAATGCGATAAGAATTACGAATTAAAGGGTCCCGGAAGAAGATTATGCCTGGAAAATGCATCTTGGAGTAATATTGAACCGGAGTGTCGAGGTAATATTTATCACTTTTTTTATTCGCTATTAATTACACTGTTTCATATAATATATAATTAATTTAGAGGTGTCTTGTGGAGAACCCGATAGAAGAGATAATATGACCATTATTGAAGGAAAGCACTTTGTTGTGACCAGTATAGTTACATATACATGTCAATACGGTTATAAACTAAAAGGAAATGGCACTCGAGTATGCCAAAGTAATGGATATTGGTCGGGCGTAGTGCCTCATTGTGAATGTAAGTAAAGAAATTTTGTTATTATATTTTTTTATATTATTATTTAAAAATGAAGTACAGTAATTGATATTACGGGTATAATAGAGTATAAGATAAAATTTGTTATTAAATTAAATAACCATATTATGAATTTTATTCTATGGCAAAACATTCTAATTACATATATTATACTATCAATATATTTTATAATTTTAACACTTATTATTTCTTAGATTTAAATGATGTAATTTTTCATTTACTGAACTTAAGATTCGAACTCGAAGAATGTAAAGAATCCTAAATAAAATTCTTTTGTATAGAAAGGGGATATTACGAAAATTATTCCTTATTCTATATTTTAAGGAAATTTTCTGGTAGAATCTAAGTTTTCACTTTCTGGAATTCAATTTTATAAAACTTGTTCTCACTGTTTATTTAATGATTTCAGCACGAATTCGTTTTCAAATTACTGTATTGTTTTTAGGTTAAAAACAATAGCATCTCCCTCGTTTAATTTTGCGATCTTTACAGAAAACCAGTAATTAAGTTTTAAAATTTAAATAAATTCTAGAAGAAATTAAATAAATGAATTAAAAACAAAAATTCAAATTAAATTTATTGTATTCTATACTCTTTGAAGTCTTTTCAAGAATTTTTGTTAATTTATAAAGAAATGTTTATTACATCTTTGCAATTATAGAACTTTTAGAATGCTTTATTTCAAACCCGATATTTTAATTTCATTCAATTTATCAAATATCAACCACAGTCGTGTGTTCGTGCCTCTCCAGTGGTTTGGCTAAGTGGAGTGTTTCAGGTTTTCTTCACGTTAGTAACACTTAAATGGGAGCNCATGAAGTCAACATTGTAAACTAATCAATTTATTCTTGGTTCTATATTTCTGGTCACATGAGCGAATTTGGTCTTTGAGCCTAACATCTACACTAGAAAAATAACAATAAATTCTGTACAAGTGAATAGAAAATAATCTGATTATAACGGAACTAAATATTTCGTCGTTTAATGGAAAATTTGCTGCTGTAAATTTGATATAATTTTTCTTTCTAAGCTTCATAATTAATATCTTTTAAGACTTTTTATGACAGCTTTACGACCTTTTTTCTATGACCTTACGACTACTATGACAGCTTCTTTCACTTTACATACATACTGTATAAAAAATATTTGATAGATTTTATTTAAAACTTTGTTTAAGACACATGCACAAACACAGAAAGACACACAAAATTTTGTAAGAGGTTTTTTTAACATTAACATACAAAAAACACGGAAGGGTCAAAATTTGGCTGATCACTATACTTTTCCTGTGTTATATCCTATAACAGTCGGAAAAATAAAATAAATAAATATGATTTTCATAAAAACTATAATTTGAAGTTATTTAAATTTTAATTATATTATTAACTCTTATAATAATTATGTTTTTATTTTCTTTTAAAATCCTTTTTAAATAATTAATAAATGGGAAAAAAATTGAAGAAAAAGTAAATAAAATTATAATTGTCGTTATAAAAACACATTAAATTTATTTTAAAATTGATTTAAAGATGCATATTTATTAAATATTTTTTATTTATATAATGAAATATTTTATTTATTGCTATTACTTTATTACAATAAATTTTATGCTGTGAATTATTTTTATTTAATTTTTTTTTATTGTTAACACTAAATAAATAAATATATATATATATAGGCTATATGTATATAAACAATACAATCGTTTTCTTTTGACTGATAGATAATACATAATATAATTGCTTAAATTTAGAAAAGTCTGCCCTATTTTATATTCCTTGTTTTAGAAACTAGGAAGTTGATTATATTAAGTAAATATATTACAGTCGAGTCCACTTAACAAAGCATAGGATAAGACAGCCATGTTCTCCATTTATAATACATCACAACACAGACACATAGGGATGGGCTTTCATGCTGCCCAAACTACGACTCCTAGCCAAGTCCGCCTGCGAACATATTTGACACATTGCTTATATATGTGGCCCGCCAACCAAAAAGTTTGGGCACCACAGGACTAAATTATTTATTGAAATTTGACAAAATCTTTTATTGGTCAGTTTTCTAATAACGGATAGTAAAACGTTTTCTTGCAGAATCATAATGAACAGGTTTTATTATACATATATATATATATTACTTCTTTCCGCCCTCGACCCGTCTGGATTCGATTCTAGGAGTAGGCTACTACCTTAACCGCTCGGCAATCCGACCGTAGGACATACATATTAAAAAAGTATCGTACAATGTATATGAACAAACAGTCCCTTATCACTAAGGGACACGGCAAGAAGAGATTAGCGACCAGATATCGGAGGTCACATCACTTTTCTTTAAGGCATTAGTGTAGCCTACTTATTTGTTTTTATTCTCTCTGACGGCTGCCATCGCATTTTGTGGTGGCGCTAGTGAAATGCAAACAACATGACCACGAATGGAGGATAACCAACAATCTAGAATATACTACATAGAGTGGCTGTATTGACGCCATGTTGAAAGAAAATTGAATACATGTCCGCCATTTTCCTTTTAGTCAAGAGTGCGTGGCATTTGTGTAAAGGCAACGAGCTAGCATATTCTAACTTGTTGTGAAAAGGTATGTAAAGGAAAGAAAGAGTTATAACCCTTAACTAAGATGGTGTAAGTGAAAATGACTCTAGTGTTTTTTTAAAATTTTAAATGTAAATAAAAAGACATTTTTTTTCTTCAATCTATTATTTAAACGTTTCTAATCAAGACAAAATGTGGGTTTGCCAACTAGGGAAAATCGTAAATTCCTCGTCAGGATGGTTAAGGGTGTTTTCGTATGTGAGTGGTGGTGGCGGAGGTACAGATACGAGGTACCTAAACAAAAAAACCATTTATTGGATACAAAGGATATGCTTACAGAGGTAGATGACAAGTTCCCGTTTTAAGTAACCAAAGTCGTCCAGAAGTCCTTTATATTGGCGTTCGGCGGGAGGTGTCTCGCTGCAAGTGGTGCACTAGGTGAGTCGTCGGATAAGTAAAGCGATATCGATTTCGCTCGGGACACAGATTCGACTGGCGACACAATTTAGGAAAAACTGCGTGCTTATGTCTTTGTGTCCTTGAAGTACGGGGATTTTATAGAATTCTTTCACCAAACCCCTTCCTTCAATTGGTTCTGACTTTTGTCTGTCGTTTTCCGATTGGTTATTTACCAATCTTACTCGGGACTCTTACCAATATTTACCAATTACTCGGGACTCGGGACCTTCCCTTATTTCCAGGTGAAATAGGATCGTTTGGAGTCTTGATCAAATAATTGCAGATTTCAATTAATAAAACAAATTTATTAAGCGCTCGAATACTGTACAGAGTGCCGGCAGTACACGTGATCAGACAGACTGTCCGGGAGACAAAGACTGAAAACTAAGTGCACGGTAAGTGTTGCCAAGTTGGCCACAATCGGTTCGAGTCCAGGAAAATAGTCTACCTGAGACGATCTGTGGTTAAGCCGACTTACGGGGGATCGTTAATCCCTCGTCAGGATAACCTAGGGGCACTCGCGTATGTGGGTGGTGGCGTAAAAGGCAGAGAATACAAGTGCTTTTACAAAACTGTTTATTATAAAATATTATATATATTAAATTATCTATATTAAATATAGATAAGTCCTCCGGGCAAGACAAACGTCTCGATATTTTCGGTCGAACTGAATTCAGTCCGCAAGGTTTGATAGTTGGGCAGCCCTGGGGAGCGGCGAGTTGTCGTAAGTTCGATCAGGTTAAATCTGTAGAAACTATGGAAGGAAAGCGACGACACTGGGAGAGAGAGAGAGAGAGAGAGAGACGAAGATGACACTAGGAGAAGGACGATGTCGTTGACAATTATGATGACGACCACAATTACGACCAACCCGGTGTCCTTGAACATCGGGGTTTTATAGACTGTTTCGTCCCAAAATCTTCCTTCAATTGACTGGGCTTCCCTTTCCTCGCTCACCGATTGGTCTCTTACCTGTCTACAGGTGAAAATTGAGATCAGTTCGGGTCACGAGAAAGGTCTGCCCAGGATGGTCTATCCGACACCATCTCTCGACTATGGTCGGAAAGTGACGATAGAACTAAGAAACTTGAGCTTGTAATTTAATCAGTTATTTCTTTTTCTTTGTTCTTGACAAATTTTGTTCGCTAACGATTTATTGCGATGTTTTCCTTTTTTGTCAATCTTCCTCTTCTCCCCGATTCGATTTAACTTCGTTTACGGTATACGAGCGCTGATGTCAAAGTTCGATCTCTCTGGCTCTACGCTGATCGGTAACTTAATACGCGTCTGAATCTCACTCGGGACTCAGTTCTGAAATAAATAAAAATCCATGCCTAGTTGCAAACACAATTTTTTTTTCTCTTTCGTTCTAACAACAAATAATTTTAACGTGAATTTTGTGTCAAATTTGACCCTCAGAGTTTTTCGTAAATCTCCACGTTTTGAGACCTCCTAAACCCAAAAAAGTCAAAAAAAGAAAAAAATATTCCGTATTTGTGTGAGTTGTCGTTTATAAGAAACGAAATTTGGCATGATAGCTTATGTATAAGGAGCATCAATGCTTTTTATTATTATTTAATAGCATCATTGCTCCTTAACTCCAACAATGTGGTTCATCACATGACAAAGGTCAAAATGTTGTTTCTCATTGTAAGCAGTTTCATAAGTTAAAACCAAAAGTTTTACAAATTATAATTATAATAAACACACAAGAATACTACTTATATTCCTCAAAAGATAAGACATTGTCCGAAAAAAAAATCAACAATGTAATGAGTATTGTACCGACATTGGCGTAGCCAGAGTTTTGTTATGGGGGCCTAGTAGAGGCCAGCCTGACACAAAATTGAATTATTTCAAATTATTGTTCATTGAAATGAAATTTCCATATGAATTGACAATAAATTAACGCGCATATAATATCAAACTTCCTTTAATCATACGTTTTCGTAACATTAATATCAAACTCTAGCAATGCCTTAACCCGTAGATAATAAACTGTACGTACTTCTTTTATTGGTTTGTCAAATGCATTTCGGATTTATTTGTATTTTAAGTCCCTCTTCAGTTCAAAAGTACAAACTCAGGTTCTGTTTTTTAAAAAACCCCGGTGTATAACTGGTAACGTTGGAAAGAGTTTAAAAAATACAGCCATTTAAAAACTCTTCAAATACATATTCATATTAATACTGTGAACCTGTTTTCTCCATTAGATCTCCGCTTCAAGATTACTACAAACTTTTGTTATGAATGTATGAAATCCCATATATTTTTGATGTCGCCCACTAGTGGTGTGTGTTTCTATCTCGTGACCTACAATACATGTATTCTGTATACAAAGATTCAAATTCTCTGTCGCGCAATCTTTTCACGAGTCCAAACTGAAAGAATATTGAAGACACGATTCATAAACATTTAATAAAAAATTTTTCCTACGTTTTTCCTACCGAAAACATCTCCATTAAACGTTACATGCCTCCATTATGTGTAATGGTACAATTTTTCGGGAGGAAAAAATTTTCCTGTTATACAACGATACAAAAAAAGGAAACAAAGAAAAATTGAAATCATTTTAAGTCCATAACAAAGAATTCAACAATACCATAATAATAGAAAAAAGCTTTATTGTAAAAATGTATTCTTTGAAAAGAAAGCACTCGTTTCAGATGCTATTGCTCTGCAATTTTATTTCAATTTTCTGTTTATTTTCTTCGACAATTTTGACACTTGCTTTACCAATTCAAAGAAGACTCCTGGATCCAGTAGAGAGTAGAACGGATAAAGTTTTCCCGTTCCGTGCCAAGCAGGATCCACCCAAATTTGACAGATCATCCAACGTGGCACCTAATGGTTACAAGTATTTGAAATATTTGTATGGACTTTTGACTCGTCACTCGAACAAAACCAATACAGCAATTATAACAACTCAAGAGGATATTCTAGACAATCTGAAGATATCCGAAAACAAATCAGTCGATTCGACGGAGAGAACGAAAATTTCTTATGATTTCGACAAAATATCATCAATCCATTTGGATACAATTACAACTTATCGGCCATCGACAGAGACTTCAAAGGAACAAGATTGGCTGAAAGTTCAATTAGAAAAAATTAGAGAAAGAGTATTCAAGAATCTCGTCTACCAAATCACACCCAATACCACCAAAATGAATTCTGCATCGTCACTTATCGAAACTAATCGGGTGATTTATTGGTTATTACTCATACTTATTATCGTAATTTGTGTTGCATTTCTTCAAATGTGCAGAATGGAGTTGGGTCGAAAGCATGTTTCGTCTGCCATCTTGAATAAGAAAAACAAACACATGGATGTGACAATTCCACCGGAATCCGAGACGACAACTTTACTGGCATACAGATCTTCAAAAAATAATATTTTAAGAAGTTTGCTTCATCTGTTCTACCCAATGGCAACAGATCATCGTTCCTAAAAGTTCGACAGGCAATCGAAGCACTAGACGATGAAGAATTGGATCTTCTGACTTCTTTTCTTATCTCTACGAATAGGAACACAATTAATTAATCAATGATCATCCATGAACTCTCATTGCAACTAAGGACTAACACAATGGTGACTGAATATACTTCAAATCATTTGTGAGAAATTTATCGCGAAATCGATATTGTAGAAAAGAAAACTTTGTAATTGCTTGCTGGCGCCTTAGCTCTAATTTGCCAGTTTGTACCTTAAATAATAAAATTTTGTTTGTTTCCTATTAAAAATAAATTATCCATTATTTTATGATTCTCAAACTCGATACGTTAATCAAAATGTCTTCACTATCTGCAGGTGTTGCCTTACATTTTGTTTTGGTACGATATAAAATACGATATTTTTGATTTTATTCAAATAAATGCAGTTTCTTTACACTTCATAAACCGTTTAGTATGTAACTATCATGTATATTAAAAAGAACATATTCAATATGTATGTCAACAAAATAAAAACACGTACAAGTGATACTACTAACCAAAACATAGAAATAGACCAAACTTATCGCACCTTTCAATTAAATAACTACCCAAATAGAATTATCAACTTGTGAATGTGTCTCTTTAATCCGATCAATTCCGTTCGGTAGACTATCATATACAGCTTTCAGGTTAGGTACTGTACGTAGAGATTACAGATACACTTTTCACATTGGACACAGAAAGCCGTTGACCTTTTTTCTCAGGGGTCAGAATTTCTCAACTTTTCTATCACTTCACATTGTGAGGATATAAGGGATTATCGCGGATCCATTAGAGAAATTAATTGAAATTAAACCCAATATTTAAAGGTTATGTTGGCTATGCCTGATCTAGACTTTCAGTGGATACACTACACCCAATTAAATTAGCTTCAGCTTTTTATTTCTTTTTGAAAATCGGTTCAACACTTTTTGGCTGTAATTCTCTCGGGAGGAGCACAGGTTAGCTGGGGGCCGTGCCCACCCATGCCCCTTCCTGGCTACGTTCATGGGTACCGATCAGATTGACTTGAACACAGTAAATAAACAATGATTTGCTGAGAGTAAAGGTGACAACTGACTTTCAAGACCCGGCTCGTACGGTTTTTAGATTATAAAAATATTAATATATTGAAGATATGTACTGTACTACACTTTCCGGTTTAAACTCTAATCTTGCCTTCTTTATAATAATTAAACAAAGTCTAGAAAATGGCTAAATACGAGATAAAACAATCTAGGTTTATATCCATTACATAATTGCCTAAATTTTAAATCTAGGGACACGAAACAATCTAGATTTATATTTAAAAATAGAAGTGTCAATCCTGCCCAACACGTGATACAAACTTCAATGTTTTGACTTAAAACAAAATGACGGTCGATAGTACTCATCGTTGCTACCAAGAGGGCTGTATCTAAGATCACTGCCGAGATCTATAAACACAGGGTCAGGACACCAATATTCCTCATGGAGCCGCCATATTGGTTCCTTACTTCCAAGATAGATTTCATGCTCTGTATGTGCAGTAAACTGCATGTTCCTTCGAGTTCAAGCCACGGTATTCCTTTTATAATTTCAAATAGAGTATATTTTCATTTAGAAGTTACTCTGATATATAACTAAAGGCTAAATAGGTTTCAAAATAAAATGTTAATGTCAATGGTTCGTATGACATAGTACAAGGATATATTTATATAGTTTTGAAATGCAAAATAATTTCAAACATTGCATGATTGGACTAAGTGTAGCAGATTGAGATATTTATAGGAATCTAGACTACTACATTTGGACGACTTACTTCTTTCTGGGCCATTTTAAAAATAATTTGGACTATAATTCGAGAAATTCTGATTTACTTCTTATAAAACCTATCTGGCAACCTATGAGATTCTCACCGGACACTTACTATTTAACTTCACATTTATATTATTAATTATTATTTAACAAAAATAATGTTTTGTACCATAGCTGTATTCCGTTTGCTTAATAAATTACAACAATTACATGACATTTGGCATATTATACATTTCGAAATTCAAGGGACGATTATTTCGTCCCTCGAATCTCGAACTAACGAGTATGCTAGCGGCCGGATGGCAAAGCGGTCAAGGTGGCAGCCTACCGCTCTGGGGACCCGGGATCGAATCTGGACGGGTCCAAAATCCCCAGGAATTTTTCGGGGGTGATACGACCGGTTATATCGGTTATATCCCCGTCTCTCACCTCTCGGCCGTCCCATTGTAGGCCTGACCGAACCCATAATAGGCTTGCTAAAAAAGGTCCTCTAAGTGTCCACATGGCAGAAAGAGCAAAAAGAAAAAAAATTAACGAGAATTTCTGTAGTAGGTTTTATTCCTGCATGCGCCAAATTATGGACGATATCTGTTGCCAACCACCGCATATGAAATAAATAATTTTGATTAATTTCATTTTAATGACTAAAAATAACAATTTACTAATTAATTCACCAAATATATGTATATATATGGTTTTATAAATATATACTGTATATGGCTTTTTTTCTTTATTAACAAGCCCTGATGGAAGCGCCCCTAGCGAATAATATTCCCGCCTCTCCTCGCGTTTGGAAAGTGTGCAGTTCGAATCGAATACTGACATATGATTAGAAAACCTTTGAATTTGGCAAGAAAACATTCCATTAAACAAACATTTTAATATCGTAAGATGGATATACAACATCAGTTTAGTAATTTTTCTCGTTCTCCAAAGATTACAGAAGGGATGAACTTGAGTTTCAATGTAAGTTTTGTAGATGTAGAAGAAAACTTATTAAAATTATGGATCCAGCCAGAGCCAAGTCTGGTCCGTAGTATAGAATCGGTTATGCGTAGTTTGCATACCAGGTTAGAAAAATCTGGTGGTTACATGCATCAATGCCAATTGTCTGTAAATGGACATTACTGTGTCAAGCCTACTGAGAGTGATTGTTGGTTTAGAGCACGAGTTATCAAGCATGCACCCAACGATGGTACTTTTGTAATTGTTCATTTCATCGATTATGGACATACAGGGGTTATTAGAGTTACTAATGTAAGGCCACTTGAAGAGAAACTTTATTCTCTTCCACCTCAGGCTATAAAATGTGTTATGGCTGAAGTTGCTTCTGCCACCGGAGAAGCGTGGCATAAAGAAGCCGCAGATTATATAAGAAAAGTTCTGTCTCAGACCGAAGTTACCGGTACTGTCGTGAGTAAATATCTGGACATTCCTTATATCCGTGTCTTCGTGAATGGCATATCGCTTGCACATCACTTGATAGAGAAGGGAATAGGTATTCCTTTGGCGTCGAGTTTGGAACCGTCGGCTTCGCAGATGGTTATTTATAATGGTGAAACGTTTAGAGCGCTTCCTCTTGATGTGACTAAAGAACATTTGGTTTATGTTTCTCATGTTGAAAGTTGTAATAAGTTTTACATTCAACTTGCTTGCAAAGAACACGAACTTAATATTTTGATGGAGGAAATAAAACGACATGCGGTTGAGCAAGGATTTTATCCATTGGAAGAGATATTGCCTGGAAGTCCGTGCATTGCTCAGTTTTCAGAAGATAGTAATTTCTATAGAGCTGTTATTACAAAAGTTACTCCACCAACTTGCTGTGTTACATATATTGATTATGGAAATTCTGAAAATAAATCTCATTATGAGCTGAAAGCTATACCACAGAAATTTTTAATTATTACAGCCCAAGCTAAAGAGTGCAAATTGTTTACGGATGTGATCATAGATACTGACACGTTTCGTAGCTTAGTTGATGATAAGTTATTGACTTGCCGTATTAAAGAACAGCAGTCGTCTTCGTATGTTGTGACGCTCTATCATGATGGTGAAAATATTATTAAGTCAAACGAAAGCACGTTGTTACCTTCCCATTCACAACCATTAATGAAGCAGTCATTTAACTATAATTATTTGGAACTGCATTTAAATTCAACTTATGATATTTATGTTTCCTATATCCGTAGTCCTCTTAATTTCTATTGCAATTTACATCATAATAATATTCTTCTTAAAAACTTAATGGATAAAGTATCTGCATTATGTGAAATGACGAATCCAGAAATTAATGCTATTTCCATAAATGAGTGCTTTCCCGGACAATCAGTTTGCTGTAAGTATAGTGCTGATCAGCAATGGTATCGTGCTGTTATTTTAAGTTCTGTGCAAAATTCTTCTGTTCCAGTGCAGTTTGTAGATTATGGAAATGAAGAAGTAGCTCATATTAGTGTTCTGAGAAAAATTACTCCAGAATTATTAGAATTGCCAGTTCAAGCAATAAAATGTCATCTAGTTAACATGGAAATGTTTTCATTAGATATTTTGATGTCAGATTCAGTTATTGCTGAAATGGAGAAATTAATGTTAAATGTACGATTAGTAATAAAGTTTGAAGATAAAAAGAATGATACATATTTTGTATCTGTATTTGATGCATCGGGCATATGTATCAATACAAAATTACAGGAATTCATTCAACGAAATTATTTACAAAATAGACAGTTTACAGATAATGTTGCACCAAGTAACATCATTCATCAGAATTCCATAGTTGACAATTCATTGCCAAATAAAACTAATGATATGTTACATCCAGAAATTCCTATAGGTAAGGTCTAAGTTTTATTAGTAAATCTATATTAATATTTCCATACTATATGATTTTTATAAAAGTTTTGTTTTATTCTTTATTTAAGATTGTAAGTTTTTAAAACTCTTTAGGGAGAGTTTTGGAAAATTTTCTGTTCAGTTAACATATTTAATTTTATGGATTTATGATCTAATTGTAATAAAATCCATGTCAATATCTAATATTGTGCTATATAATTGTCTAAAAAATAACCAATCCAAAATTTTGAATTTTATCCTTTTATTTTATCCAGTTAAGGATAAAATTTTGAATTTTATCCTTAACTGTAGGATTATAGTTCTTAATAAGAAACTTATATATTTTTAGTAAAATAATATAAATATATTCAATTAGTGTGAGTAGTAATTTTGATTTTGACATACTATTACTTATTCTGATTTATCTGTTTATTATGCTTCAGCAAGAAATCTAATGAAAGAAAGAAAACATTTTTATCAGTTTATAAGGACAAATGTTAATTGGTCTAGACCAGGGGTGGCCAAAACATGGTGCATGCTCCAAACGTGGCGCATTGGACGATTACAAGTGGCGCTTCAGTTAGTTCTGAGCAAAATTGCCAGATTTGGCTTTTTTGCGATTAAGAATATTATATAGAAAAATAAATTTTTATAGTCTGTCTTGGCAAGTTCATTTGTTGCACAATTCGTTACGGTCTATTTTGCAGATAAAATGAGTATTCTCCACATAGTAAATTACAGTGTATGCATGTATTTTGAGTCGTGCGATCTTTATTTCCGATCAGTTTACATGCTTGTAAATGGCTGAAAGCATTTACTGTGATTAAAGTTATTCCAAGCTGATCTCGTTTTCAGTGCCAATAATTGTGGTGCAGAGTAATCTTCACCAAACGAGACTCTGGCAGCAATAGCACCATCATGAAGCAATCACCCTCTCGTACAGATCATTGTTGACTATTGTAAATTGGTGCTTCAATAAACTGTCATAAATTAATTAATTCAACTGTATGATTAAGTTATTCCCTTTTCTTTTGTAAGCGAAGCAGATTTATTCTTCTCTCTATTTATCAACCCCTAACATTGAATGTAAGACTATAAAAAGTGTTCGAGTTATATGGCGCATTTGAACTCGTCTGTCAAAAAATTGGCGCATGGTATGCAAAAGGTTGGCCACCCCTGGTCTAGATATATATTATCAAGTCGTTTCTATTATTAAGTTACTTTATCTGATTTTTATCAATATTAAAACAAATTTAAATAAGCAATTGAAGTAAAAACCAATTGTATAATTTTCAGGAAATTTATAAACTGAATTTAATTAAATTCTTGTATGTAGCTTCTAGTGTGTGGCAAAATGACATTAATTTGACTTCATATCTACACTATGCAAAGCTTTGGGTAGTGTGGGTATGATGTCAAATTGACATAATTTTTGCTGCAAGCTGAATTCTACATGCAAGAACTTAAATCCAACTTTAATAATTTGTAAATTTCATATGTTACGTATGTATAAATACTTGCTGCAATAGTAAATAATTTAATTGGCAATGTTGAGCAGCAATTGCATATTAACATTACAAATCAATTTATTCACTACTTCAGTAAGTATTTAAACTTACCAAATGCACATTATAGTTTTACATCCAGGTTGTGATAATAGTAAATCCAGTTTATATGAAAAACTGGACTGCATGATTTCATGCATTGTCATCAAGGATTTGTACACAATCTGAAGGCTGAGAATTTTTCAGTGCTTGATTTATAACAGTAGACAGTCTGGTGACTGTGTCTGTTTCTGTGTCTAAACATGATACGTTTCTAAATACAAAAATATTGTCAATTCTATAACTAATATACAAGAGATAGTATAATATCATTGCGGAAAATATGAGATAGAGATAATTAAAGTAACATGTTATCAGATACAATAGTTTCTATAATGTAGATAAGGGGTGCTGAAATTCCAATTTTTTTTTCCTTTTCTCTGTAAATGTTCAAGTGAGTTTGAGAATTTTAATTCAGCACTTCTAACATCCAAAGGTTTCTAATGATGGTGACTTTATTCACTTAATTTACTCTTACAAATACATTTTGGAATGATGTATATTTTTGTTCCCTCTTGAGCAATTTGCATTTACCGAAATGCATTTGTAATAGTAAATTAAGCAAATAAAGTCATTGTCATTGGAAACCTTTGGATGTTAGAAGTGCTGTATTGAAATTCTCAAACTTACTTGAAAGTTTCTATAATGGAAATTCATTTTTACAATTTTCTGGAAATGATAAGCATGTTATCACCATCATCTTTATCTTATTTATTAGTTTTAGTTTTACAATTGGTATTATTTATAGATGTAATTTATTAAATTATATTAAATTAATGACTAGATTAACTATAGATGCTGACAATGTGTTCATGAACTGGAAGTCCATAAACAGATCANAACCCAGATGGAGTAATCAACTTTTAATGATCAATAGTTATTACAAAAGTTAAAAAAATTTGTTATATAGAAATTTAATTTTTGTTATTTAGAAACAATTTTACTTATATTTTTGGGCTGAAAGTGCAGTGTACAATACAAAAATTTGTTATACAGAGAAATTTGCTATATAGAGGTTTGTAATATGGAAGTTTGACTGTAAATATAAATAAATGAAATTAAGTCAATTTCGTAGCTTGATTTCTCTTTACTTGTATTTTAATTTATATATTAATTATGGTACACCAAGTGACCAGAAGAAAGGATTACCTAGCCCTAAAATGTAAACAATTATTTATACTGATTGAACAATTAATTGGAAATCATAATCGTTCAAATCTCATCATGATTTCTGATTGTTAAAATGATTCTTCCACATTTAACAAGAAAATTAATTATTTGTTTTGGTCAAAGATTAAAGATTAAGTATTGGTTTATTGGAAACTTTCGCATTGCCAAAGCAGAGAGTATACACTACTCATATATAAGATAACGTCTGTCATGGCAGACTTTTCTTTTGCATAGTCAGAGCAATGAGAGATTGCACTTGATTGGTACTAACTGTCTCCATTTTAGGGGAGATAGGGTGACATTAGTTTGCCACTTGGATAATTAAATATTTTTGTTAACTGCCAGCGGCTTGACCGGCAATTTCAAATTGAGGCTGGCAGTTAACAAAAATATTTAATTAACCACAAGACAGTCTAAAATATAAACAAAATTATATTTTAATTTAAAATATATTATATAAAATTGTATCTAATATTTAGTATGTTTATTTATAATGATAAAATGCTTGAATAACACCTTAAATACTTTAAAAGCATCACTTTAATTTAAAGATTCAAACTGTTTAAGAAGACAGTTTGAATCTTCTTGTTAAACCTGACACAGACCTATGAAAAGAGGTGGAAAATGCTTGTTTAAATAAAATGTTATTAAAAGTATTTAAGGTATTGTTTAAACTAAATTAGTTTCAGCCTATACAGAAGTGTTTTTTAATGATAAAATGATTTTTCCATTATAACTATGAACATTTATGTTATGATTCACATATGTTGCTGTAATACATTAAATTTTCAAACATGATTTTCATGATTCTAAGTAAAAATAATTGTTTTGCACTAAGTTTATTGCCATTTTGAGTTTTAAAAATTGATTTTACTTTCCCAACGTCTTGTTATATATTACAGGGAAAATATGCAATCATTCAAAAAACTGACTCCCCAAGATTTTTACATTTTTGGACTTGGGACCTTGAATCTTTGAGAAATGCAAAAAATTTGTGGGCTATTTTTGTATGTGTGTGTGTATGTTGGGGGGGCATGATTTTGTTCATCATCTTTGAAAGATTAACTTTTATACTTTTTTTTTTTTTTTTTAATAAAACATAAAATTCATCTGGATACGAATCCAAGTTTACTTGCCATGTCTAATCACCAGGAACAACTATTTCCATTGCAGAGACAACCTTTCTTTAGAGGCTATGCCTCTGCACGAATATGTAAAACAGTTTAAAATGTCCACAGGTGACAATCCCAACACAATTAAAAATNAAATATTATATTTTTAATTGTGTTGGGATTGTCACCTGTGGACATTTTAAACTGTTTTACATATTCGTGCAGAGGCATAGCCTCTAAAGAAAGGTTGTCTCTGCAATGGAAATAGTTGTTCCTGGTGATTAGACATGGCAAGTAAACTTGGACTCGTATCCAGATGAATTTTATGTTTTATTAAAATGTAATTCTGCCAGCCCATTTCTACAAACAAATTTTATACTTTTTGTCGAAAATTTTTGAAATTTTGCAGGGAGGTTTGTTTATTAGGGGGATTGATGCTATTAAATTTTGGTGAATAAATGATTGAAAATTAAGGGGATGGAGAGATAATTGTATTGTCTGTATCTCTAGTAGGGTTGGACTTAATGATGATTTTACTCATTATTAGCATTTACAATTTTTTTATAAAAACCATCCCTACCCTCAAAATTAAGCTTTTTGCCATTTGATGATAATTAAAAATATAAAAAGTATTTAAAATAAGATATCATAACAGATGGTGCCACCAAATGTTGCTGGGAAAGTTAAGCAACTTGTTGCTGGAGTTTTCAAGATGAATCCGTCTAGGCATTCATTTGATTCTTTTTTCCTCAAAAAAAGTTTACGCGACTGTAATCTGAAATAAGATTACAAAACCTGGCTCGAGTGAATGGATTCAAAACCTAGTTAACTTGTGATGATGACATTTGTTCGGCTTGTTGCATCATTTTCCGAACTTCTTTTAGTGTTAAATACAATGGAATAATGCATTTGAGGCATACTGAGTGCATTTTCTCATTTATTTTTTCCCTTTCCCAGTCATGGCATCTGCTAACAAAGCAGTTTCCAAAAGATGGTGATCCTAGATGACACAATCTGATAATTCTTTGAGTAAAAGGGAATTAACTGTAATTTCTTTAATGATAGTGTTGCAATATTAACTTTATCTGAAATAAGATTATGAAGTTATTTTGTAGTACAATAAAAGCATGCATATTGACATATAAATGGAGAATTTTCGGGTTTCTTTCAAAAGATGATTCTGAATTTTCCAACCATTTTCCCTTTTTAAGCTCAATATTTATTAATTAATGAATGTATCATGCGTGTAGTGTAAATTATTAATTTTTTTAAACTAAAATAAATTTTAGAAAGTATTCAAAAGAATCAGAATTGGGAGTTTTCGGCAGAATCGTAACTGTGAGAAATTTTGGTATTGTCCCATCACTAATTATTTAATAATAAAAAATATTGTGCTCATAATGAGAGAGGGAATTTATTTAACCTTAATAATGATAAATAAAGGGTAATAAAAGGATATTTATGCAAAAGTTATCTCATAAGACAGAAAAGCATTTTTAAAAATTAAAAAATTATTTATATTCAATTATTCAAGAATGAAATTAATAAAATTCCATATAACATTTTTACTACAAAAATATTTTTAGTTTAGAATTCTGATATTTGTTAGCAATTTTATTTCTTGTGTTGTTTGTTTTCTCATTTGGTTCCTAATATTTTTATACATAATAATTTTCAATTAACAAGTATTATTTCTAATATATTAATTTTTAATCTGATTATATCTAAACTTTAGCAATTTATTAATTACTTATTCATAATTTTATATGATAAATATTTTTTAGGTGCATTAGAAGAAGTACTGGTAACTGATGTATTAAGCCCATCCAGCTTCCATTGCCAGTTACAGAAAGATAATTGCGAATTAGATATTCTTATGGATGAACTGACTGCACATTATGCCTCATTGGATGGAAATGTAAGTTATTGAGAAATATTTTTATTATGAATTAATAACACTTCATATTTTGTTTGAATTAAATAAATGAAAATAAATAAAAAATTTGAAATAATAAGCATTCAGGAATTTTAAAGCTTTCACATTATCATGATTTGTAATTTGAGTACTTAAAGATGTTCAAATAGAATATTGTTGGCATGAAATGAACATACTATTTGGATATTTGTAGATATTCCCAATAATGACTTGTAAGTTAAAAAATAATGAAGTAACGAATACACCTGTAATGGTGGGTGAAGTTGGAAAACTTGTAAAGTTTTCAACTGACCCAGTTAATGAGCAGGAACTGCACTGCATAGTGCCAAAATCACCACTTGCCAATATTTTTATTAAAGTGGTGATAAAAACCTTAGTTTGCTTATTTCAACATTCAGTGTGAAATGAATTGCAAAGTATACTAGAAAAACAGTAGACTATTTAGCTCTCGTATGATGGAACTCTCTTGTACCACACATCTAGCAATTTCATGATGTCATGTGGCAAGTTCAGGCAGAAAAGTAGGAAGTGGCATTTGAGAACTGAAGACTGTTTTGTGCAATGCTGCCAAGTGTTTCACAATGAGGATTTTTTATTGATTGACAGAAAATTTGGGGAAATTTTAGGGTGACTTTTTTTACTTTGATCTGTTTTTTACTTTTATTATTAGTATTATTAATCTTCACATTTAAAACTTATAAAACAAGATTAAAAATTTCTGATATCATTTTCTGTTTAGCAAAAACAAGTCTCTAGAATTAACTCTTTTATGTTGTTAAATAAAATTTATTTATTTGCACTTATTTTTGCTCATGATTAGATACTATGTCCTCACAAGCATATAAGCTTCAGATGTTACTGCACATGGATGAAAAAGACAAATGATATGAAAATTTAGCATTTTATTTTTTTTAATTGTTAATATTGTGGACAATTTCCTTATGTTCTCATGTTTGCTACACTTCAAATATCACAATATCACCATATCTGAAAATAAATATGAAGAAATAAAAATTTTATTTAATGATGTAAAAGAGTTAAATCTACAGAGACTTGTTTTTGCCAAACAGCAAATGATGTCACAATTTTTAGTATCTTGTTTTATAAGCTTTAAATATGAAGATTAATAATACCAATAATACTAATAATAACTGTAATGAAATGGTAAAATAATTATGTTACACATAAAAAAAACTAAACTAAACTAAAATTCCAAAGATTTGAACTTTCATCGTCCAGCTTCAGTACCTAGTGTCTTATCCACTCAGCTATGGTTGATCAGAGACATGAAACTTTCAAAAACTTATAAGCTAAACAATTTTCAGAGGCTCATTTTTTTTAAATGTTTAAGAAGTTGCTCCTATTATTTGGAAAAGAAGCTGTTTGTGTTTAAGGCTACGTGCTCGCCAAGTTTCATTTGAATTGGAGACCCAAAAATCTGGTCCTCTCCTCTTCTTGTAAGTGTCAGCTTAACATGTTACTTTTGCTATTCAGATGCCAAACTGATTCAAACTACCAGTAACTGCATTAATAAGTAAGTAAAACTGGTGGCAATAATTTGAAGTGGCAAAAAAAATTTAAAACTGGTGAAATTGTTGGCAATATTTTAAAATTTTCCAGAGCAACCCCTGGGCTATCATCAAGCATGAATAAACATAAGATGAATATTCTTCTTAAGCCCAGTGCAAACTAGTCAACATTGCAACAAATTGGTTAGATATGACTTCAAATGAAATTCATTCGACCATTGACTGAACATCACTCTAAGTCACACACTTCAGTGGAAAGTAGGTGATCTTCAATAACACTCAGATCAAACATAGAATTTTTTGGATGACTATTAGGAGATGATCTTACACATTTGAAAGTTTGTGAAAAAGGAACATGTGCTATAGATCATAAACAAGTCTTGCATATGTTTGTGCTGTGACTTTGTTGTTTTGTTTCAGCAATGCTTTGCTACACCAGGATTATGAAATAGAAGGTTGTTTGACAGATTTTCATAGATGTGAAAATATAAATAATATATTTCTATAAACAAATTTCAAAGCACTGTTTCATATCATTAAAATATAATTTAATTGAAATTATAAAAGTTATGTACGTATCACAACAGCAAATCCATTCTCTATTGAGTTCCTATTTTTGTTTTCATTTATATACAGGGCTGTGGAATTTTGGTGTTTTAGCCGGAGTCGGAGTCGTCAAAAAATCCGCCGACTCCTACTCCTTTTTACTTACCAACTTGTTACGTATATAAAACGGAAAAGTATTGGAATTGTGTTAAATTTGATCCTCCAAGTTTTTTTTTACAAATCTACACGTTTGGAAACCTCCCAAACCCCTCAAAAAAGTCAATAAAAGGGGAAAAATTGTGTGTGTGTTGGTGTCTAATTTGTTTAATTTCTTTATTTTCTGTTCTGAGATATTGTTTAATATCTCAGAATGGGTAAAGTTTAAGAAATGAAATATGGCACTGTAGCTTGCATATAAAGGGGCATTAATACTATTAAATTTTGGTTCTTAATTAAAGATCGACAGGGTGAAGACATAAAAGGGGTCATGTGTCATATCTCTTAATGAATATTTTATACTCGTTATTAGCGTTCAAAATTTAAAAAAATAAAATAAAACTCGTCTCTAACCCCAAAGTAAGCTTTTTTTTGTCATTTTATAATAGTACAGTAAAACCATTAAGATGTTCTTGCCTAAGATGTTAGAATATGTATAGGGACACGATTTAATTCAACCACTTTGACGCTTAATAACTAACTTCTGTCTACTTTGACCACAGAAATTATTAGGCTTCAAACAGGGTGAACAAAATCATGCCCCCCCCCACACAATCCAACATCCACACATATAGAAAAAACCTCAAACCTTTTGCTTAATTAACTTGAAATTTCAAGGTGTTCTGAGTCCAAAAATGTAAAAATTTGGGAGGGGTCATTTTTTTGACCGAGCGCTACACTTTGTTATATATCCTCTGTTATATATAACAGCCGGAAAAGTAAAAATTATCGAATACATATTTATATATTACTTAGAGGAATCTTTTAGCTTTGAAATAAAAAGTTTCTATGTTCTATCTTTATTAGAACTTTATTTATTGAATCTTTTATTCTGAGGTCACATGATGACATCAGAATTTTCAGGTCTCTTTCGGTAACAAGTCCGCCCCTGGTCAGAGTCAGAGTTGGATGGTAAAGAAAAGTCGGAGTCAGAGTTGGAGTCGGTAGATTTTTACGCGACTCCACAGCCCTGTTTATATATTAAATTTATACCAAGCAGGCAACAGATGGAAGCAGCCAAAGGCAACATTGACAAATTATTATCACTGATTGTCATCATTTTACAAACAAATTATTGAGCAATAGTTTGTAGAGGGATAAAGAAAATGTTCGTTGGTTCTTTAGAACTAGTCATGAATGATATCACAAGAAGCAAATCTCAAAATCATTGAAGGAAAACAGTCACACAACCATAAAAATCAGAAAAAGCATCAACTAGTTTGCACCAGACTTCATTTGTTAACATATAGTTCATTACATATGCTATAACAGAAAATTGTTTCAATTTATCCAAATTCAAATAAGAGTTTCCATTTACTGTGTAATAAAACCTGACAGAAGTTTAATTTATTTTTGACTATGCTATGTACTGCATTTATATCATTAGAGATTTATTTCAGTTTTTAATTAATAATAACACTGTTATTTCAACATCATTATGCATTACAGTTTATGATGATTGCAATTTCCAATGAAACTGCTTTCATTTTATATTTTTACAGTCTTTGGCATTACATAATGGAAAAAATTGAGGAAAATAACTAAAAGTAGTGCAAACTTTTACCAAATTTAGAGTAAATATAATTATGAAATAATGTACAGATTGAAAAATTAGAAAAGGATTTTAAGTAATTGAAGAAAGATAACCAAAAAGATATTAAGAAAATGCAATATTGTAAGAATTATAGTACATTCATTTCTTTATTAATGCACACAATGGTACATGCCGGGTTCCGCAGTGAGCACTACCCGGTGATAACAAATTACAATAATAAAGATACAGATAGATATAGGTGTTACAAAATACATAATTAATTATAATATAAAGGTAAAATACACAGG